AACTTCAAGCTACAAGAACTTATCTTATCTACTATTGTTTGTGAAAGGGCCAACATATGACCGTCCTCCTTAGCTGCTTTAATTCACACTGTTGGTAACTTTGACTCACAGTTTTCCTCCACGAGGTCATGACCGGTTGACCCTTACCTGGACCACAGAACGGACCAGACCACTGGCCACACTAGGACTGACAGGTGACATATTAAAGTGACCTACAAGACGTCCCCTGGCTTTACAGACAGACCAAAGTGCCTGGAGACCCTCATGGAGGAACATCTCAGCCAACCCTCAGCACAAGATGTGGCTCAAAGTCATCAAAAGAAAGTGATCAGAGCTCATCAGGAAGAGCTTCAATGAAGCAAATCAGAATAAAGGGGCAGAATAATCCCCTCTGATTGGTTAGTTAACACATCAGTAGTCCACCTGATGTGTGGAGGACCAGCTGTTCTGCAGCAAACGTTCAAAATGTCGCCTTTATAAGGGACCAACTTCAACAGAAAGACGAAGTCGCCCACCTGAAGATGTCTGACATCAGCTTTTAGCTCTGGTTATTTTATTATTATTATTTATTATTATTTTATTAATTATACAACATGATTGAAAGGGGGAAATGTGTTGTATTTTAATGAAAAATTAACTTTTTTTTAGCATCTAAGTGTTTGATATTGGTTTCTAAATACAAAAGACATCAGATGACCACATCATGGCTGATAATAAGTAATGACAGAAATTTTTGGATTGGAGAAGGAGCTCTGATGATCGGGTTATCTCAGCTACCATTGGGAAAAAGGAGCGCTGATACTAAACCTTCGCTTTGTCAAATGTGTGCTTTGACTGACCCTAAGTCTGAAGAGCTGAGCTTGTTATCTGCGTGAAACAACTTTATGTTATGAATTTAACATTTTGCATTGAGATTTCTTTTTCTTTTTTTTCTTTTTTTACTGAGCATTTAGAAGCTCAGGTTAATCATTTAACTTATACTTTGTAGACATGAAGTCTATTTTTTGGACTGATTTGACCTTTTCTCTTTCCAGGGGAAACAAAAACTGTAACTGATGACTAAAATAAAAACAAAAATAATAATATTCTTTTAAAATTCTCAGCAAATAGATCTTTTACCATGGAAAGTATCATCATGGGGAAAACAGTTAAATCTTTTGCCAACTAGGATGTGATCCAGGGCTCTATTTATTGGCAACATATTTAAGCTATCTAATCTTTTCCATGATTTTTTTATATATTATAATCTTTTAAAATAGTCTACTGGCTTGATTGCAGGTGTGCATTTTTGATATATATATGTATATATAAATAGAAAGAGAGAACAGTTCATCATACAGCCTTTACTGCTTGGTATTCAGCCCTGTTCTGGCCCTATATATATATATATATATATATATATATATATATATAGGGCCAGAACAGGGCTGAATACCAAGCAGTAAAGGCTGTATAATGAACTGTTCTCTCTTTGCAAAGATATTAAAGGAAAAAGTGGCGACTGGGTGAAATCCATCGAGCTCCGTTTATTTAACTGGGGTGAATAGTTGAATACTTTTTTCGCCACTACTTCCCACTCATGTGCTGCTAAGTTAAGTAACAAATCTTGGCTGTTTGGAACAGTTTCCTCTAATATCAATTCAGTTTATTTATATAGCGCAAAATTCACAACACTAGGCACTTTACAGTTCAACCAGATCATACAGTCAAATTGATTCAAAGTTTTCTATCTGAGGAAAGCCAGTTGATTGCATTGACTCATTGACTCAAATACAATCCCTCACACTAAGCATGCTTGTAGCGACAGTGGAGAGGAAAAACTCCCTTTTAACAGGAAGAAATCTCCAGCAGAACCAGGCTCAGTGTGAGCGGCCATCTGCCGAGGCCGACTGGGATTCAAGGAGACAGAAGCAGAGACACAAAAAGCAGCTGCAAAAGGCAGCCCCATCCAGGAAATACACAGCCAGGCAGACGAGCTCTGAGCCAGCTCTCATGCCTGAGGACGAAGAGAGCACATCCACCCAGTCACGGTCAGAGAAACAGGACTACACTGCAAAAAACAGGCCGATCTCCAGCATCTCTAAACAAGGGTGTTTATGGCAGTAGCACAGCTGATGTTTCTCTCCAGGATGGCGTCACAGCCAAACAGGAAGAGACGAGGCGAAGCTACTACGGTATTAGAAAAAGCAGAGAGCATAACGTTAGAGATGAACTAACAGATTCTGCAGAGTAGGAGAACAGAGAGACAATGAAGCAGAATGATGAAATGGGGGTCCCTATGTCCTCCAGACGTCTAAGCCTATAGCAGCATAACTATAGAGATAGCTCAGGATAACCTGAGCCACCCTAACTATAAGCTTTATCAAAAAGGAAAGTTTTAAGCCTAGCCTTAAAAGTAGACAGGGTGTCTGCCTCACGGACTAAAACTGGTAGTTGGTTCCACAGGTACCAACTACCAGGAACCTGATTACTAAAAGATCTGCCTCCCATTCTATTTTTAGAAATTCTAGGAACCACTAGTAAACCTGCAGATTGAGAGCGAAGTGCTCTGTTAGGAACATAAGGAACAATCAGATCTCTGATATAAGATGGAGCTTGGCCATTTAAGGCTTTATATGTGAGAAGGAGGATTTTAAATTCTATTCTTGATTTAACATGAAGCCAATGAAGAGAAGCCAGGATAGGCGAGATATGATCTCTCTTTTTAATTTTCATTGAAACTCTGGCTGCAGCATTTTGGATCAGCTGAAGGCTTTTAACTACAGTTTGTGGACTTCCTGATAGTAAAGAATTACAATAGTCCAGCCTTGAAGTAACAAATGCATGGACTAGTTTCTCAGCATCAATCCTGGACAGGAGATTTCTAATTTTTGCAATATTCCTCAGAGAAGAAGGAAATTCTAGAAACCTCTTTGATATGGGATTTAAATGACAGGTCCTGATCAAAAATAACACCAAGATTTTTTACTTTATTATCTGAAATCAGTTTAATCCCATCCAAATGAAGTGACTGACTAATCAGCTTCTTTTTCAAGGACTCTGGTCCAAAGACTATAACTTCTGTTTTGTCTGCATTCAGAAGGAGAAAGTTAAGAGTCATCCAGGTTTTTATGTCTTCAAGACATAAAAAATAAGTTAAAATAAGATCATAAGCACTCCTCTATCCGCGATTGTATCTGAAGTAGTCATGGAATCTGAACCGGGTTTAGACTGCTTTAATCCAGTTGAACTTTCAGAGTTAGCAAAATTATTGTCTTCATCTAAACCTTCAACATGTATGTTAGGAGCTATTCCCTTTGTTCTCCTCCTCCATTTTAGATGTGATTAATCTATTTCTGTTACAGGGATATGTACCTAAAGCTTTTAAGGTTGCTGTAATTAAACCTCTGCTTAAGAAACCGACTCTTGACCCAGATGACTTGGTCAATTATAGACCTATATCCAATCTTCCTTTCTTATCCAAAATTCTTGAGAAAGTAGTTGCCAAACAAGTGTGCGATCACTTACACCATAATGAACTTTTTGAAGAGTTTCAGTCTGGCTTTAGAGCTCATCATAGCACTGAAACAGCTCTGGTGAAAGTCACTAATGATATTCTCATGGCCTCAGATAATGGACTTTTATCTGTTCTTGTCCTGTTCGGATCTCAGTGCTGCATTTGATACAGTTGACCATAATATTCTTTTAGAAAGGCTTGAATTCTTTGTAGGATTTAAAGGAACAGCACTATACTGGTTTAAATCTATCTGATCGATTTCAATTTGTTCACGTTAATGACAGATCTTTAACATGCTCAAAGGTTACCTGTGGAGTACCACAGGGATCAGTGCTAGGACCAATTCTCTTTACTATATATATATACTGTATCTCAAATGACGTCATCTGATTTGTCATTTAAAGTGTCACACATCTGGAATTATAATCAAGATTGTTCAGCAACTTTGAACTAGTCAAAACTATATTTTTTTTAATATCCCAATTATGAAATCTCCCCTTAGTGCTGTCACTGAGCTGCGCTAACAGTTGCCTGCAGAATTTTTCATGGCTGCAATGGTGCTGGCTCTAATTGACAAAGTTTTTTCAAAATGCCACCATATAGAAAGAACTCAGCAGTATGGGATGTGCAGAGAACAAGAACTTTTTGAACTCTAAGACCCAATCAATTTAATTACGGTATACATTTTTTTCACACTATTTTTGCTCAAAATTTATAAATTTCCTTCAATAGCTTCTCTTCTCTGCTCCTCTCATCCCTTCACCAGTGTTGCCAACTCCACAGCAAGAAAGGCCACTATTGGCTGTCCTAAAATGCGCTATAACATGCTAGATAATGAATGTCGTCCAATCAATGGTCAATAACTTCAGTTCGACGGACCTGTTAGAATAGTTTTAACTCATTTATTGCCAGTATGTAGTCTAGCTTACTTTAAATTAGCCAATAGAAGCAATACTGTACTTTTTGATAAACAGTCTATTTTATAAAATAAATACTCTAAATGAATATTTGAAAATTAAAATATTTTATATAGGCCTATTTCACTTTCAGGCTAATTCTAATGCATTTGAATTTGTTACCTTTTTTTCAGATTTTGAAAATTATTTCAGCTGTTTCAATTTAATTAATTGAATTTGAATAAAAATATACTTGACTTGAAAAGATTCAGATAATAATTTGCAATATTTTATGAGGTTTTATTCCAAATCTTCAAAGATTCATTGCCAAAAGATTCTCCAAAGTAAAATCAAAGAAGTGTCCTACCATGACTATGAAGCTGATCCTAGTGGTAAATTAGTCCCTAACTATGTAGGGGCAGTGATAGCCATGCCAGTCCAGGGACTGACTGCACTTCTACTCTAATGTTAACCATGGTCAAGTTCAATGACCTGCGTACCTGACATGTAACAACCATACCATGCATAGTGCTTTAGGTTAATAGAATATATTAATTAGGCTATGTATACTTCCGAAGAAAAAAATTAAAAATCCACCATCTCCCTTCTTTTTTTACAATTTGACTACTGCCTACATGTCTATTTAAGATATGACACCTCTACTCATTGAGCCCCCAGTGGGGCTTAGTTGGCCGCTCACACGGAGTCTGAATCTGCTATAGGATTCTTTTTCCTTTCCACTGTTGCTGCATGCATGCTCGGTGTGAGGGATTGTTGTAGAGTCAAGGACACAATGTAAGTATGCTCCTCCAGGGGGAGAAAATCCTGCAATCCTCAATGCCATCAGCCGGGCTTTCCTAGATAGAAAACCTTCACCTGATCAGACTGTATAAATTATTTGAATTGTCCGAGAGATTACTTTTGTTGTAAATGGGTTGTGAATAGTGAGCATGTTGGGTGAAACCCATAACCCAGCTCTGTTTTAGATGAAACCTAAAGGTAAAATTTCACCAATAATACACAAAGAACAAAAAAGGCAATACATTTGTTGAATACATTTTTCCACAACCTGCTGCTCATTAGGGTAATTTTTGAACTTTTAATGACATTGTTCCTCCATCTTATAAACATTAAGCTAAGACATAAAAAATACATTAAAAAGAAACAAGACATTTACTTAAAAACTGACTGACTAATATGTGAAGTAATAAAATACAATAGATTTCTAAAAGCTCACTGACTAATCTTTTTAACATTACTATCATAGTTAACATAAAACGCATCTGAATCTGTTTCTAACAGATGACTTTTGTTTGACAGCTGGCAAACTACGAAAAACAATATAATTTAAATGAACCGACTCAATTAATATTTACACATGAAACTTAATTTAAATTTACATGACTCAAATCACAAAACACATCTCTAAATTACATATAAAGAGTTCATGTCTATCAATAGAAAAAAAAAAGTCTGTTTAAGCAGGGTTCAGTCCGAACTAAACCAGACGGAAATCCTGAACCAATCAAAAAGTCGAGCTTATCAACCTCTTTCTCTCTAGAGAACCCAAACTCTTTGTTGAAATAAAAAACAAACAACAAAAACCACAATGAGAGCAGGAAGTACCCTTCCCCACTGTGGTTGCTTCAGAGTGATGTCTCCAGGCTGTGCAGGGGGCTCCCGGGACAGGGTGGCAGTCCTGCAGAGTTAGGTGGGATTAGACCGGACCTGGAGCCATCCCTATGCAGCGGAATGATGCGCTCTAATGTATTGTTGTTCTGGTTGGATGAGGATGGGAGAGGCTGCAGGTTGGAGAGTCCGCCCAGCTTCAGAGGTGGAGGTATAATGGAGTTCCGTTTGGTAGGTGGATCGTCCTCATCCTCGTTTTCATCAATGAGTGGGATCTGAGTTTCTAAGTCCTCGATCCGGAACTCTGGGTGAGTCATGAAGTTGTGGATGGAGCTGCGGGACTCTGGTGTCTCCAGGCCTTCGTAAGGAGACACGCTGTCTCTGAAGGCATTGACAACACGGATCTAAGGGACAAGAGGGAGGTTTTTATTCAATGAAATGTATCCCTTCATTTCATTAACAGCCCAACTCATTTAAACTTTACCTCATATACCTTACGCCTCATTGGGTATTTCAGATTAAAGAAATAATAAATTATAAGAAGCATAAAATTGAAATATGTGCAGTCTTATGGGGAGTTCACAACGAGCGTCAAAACTAGACGTGGGCGGATCGATCATAGGATCGATGCTATCAATACCAACGCTGGTACTGATATTGACCAATATTAATTTAACAAGATCGATACTTTTTATTCTTTCCCTCATGCACTAGCTGCAGCACATTCACCAGTCTCCCCGTCTTTGTCACAGCACTTTACGGCTCCCCCTCCCCTCTCATCACCAGCTCAGCAGCTAATATTAACTAATCCTTTATTTATTCCACAATGTGGAATCAATGCAACAAATGCACACAATACAAACAAAGTTACATAAAGATTAAAAGATATAACATAAGATGTGGATTAGGAAAAAAAAACACTATGAGCAGAAGTTAATTAATATTATTATTCAATTGTAACAGTAAACAATAACAATCATGAAAACACTGAAAGGTTCCAAGATACATCAAGTTTAAACGTTAAAAAGCCTCGGTATTGTATTGATATCGGCAATACTGACCCTGTGTTTACTTGGTATCATATCAATTAACAATCCCTGGTATCGCCCATCTCTAGTCAAAACTGAGAAAAATTTGCTGTTTCATGAGCTTTAGCTCGTCCTACATTTGACCAGAAACGTGTCTGCTGAGCGACAGAAATTTAGACGGTGGCCAAAAGGCTCCGCTTCATCACTGCATATGCTGGTTGTCTAATTCTTGTTGGAGATGAATCAGATTTTACTTGGTATGGAAAGACGGACAAAGCTGCCAGAAACTGTAGGTCCAGCAGATTCACCAGAGATGCTTCCAGTTCTACACATCCAGGAGCTTTGGACCATGATAAGGGAATTTATATGCATTTTAATCTTCCTATTTTTGTAGTTTTATTATTTAAAAAGTGACTTCTTCCTGGCCATAATGCAACCGTTTTTGGCATTTACTCAATCATATTTAGTTTAACATATGATTAAGTAAATGCCAAAAATGGTTGCATTATTTTTTTCAGTGAGGTCTCCCTCAAAAAGAGAGATTTAAACTCGAGGGATTTCCTAGTAAAATAGGAGGCTATATATTCTATTCTATTCCTTTTATATAATAACCATGTTTGATTGATTATGTCTATCCCAATAAAACCTGCTTAAAACCCAAACTCTACCTGCGTCTGGATACGGTTGAGGCTACGGCACCACAGCACCTGACCCCTCCTTAGTTCCATCTCAGCGTGGTCAATCTCATCCTTGTCCTTCAGCTCCTCCAGCTCCTCCTCAGGGATCTCCTCCTGCTGTGTGCCATGGCCGACTGTTTTCAGGAACTTCAGCCAGCTGGTGGGGACGCTTGACACCAGCTGGGAAAGGAATAAGATTAAAAGCTAGTCCGCTACTTTGAGGTCAGCTATGGCGAACTAATGAACAGCTTTGTTCAGGACTGCTTTAACACTGTTTATGAGGATTTTCTGCCTATTAGTCAGATTCAAGTGCAAGATGATACATTATTAAAATTATGGCTTGTTAAGCCTGCATGGTGACCTTTAAGTACATTTAATGTTATATTTTTCATCAAATATGAGTTGAGTTTATTTTGTCTGTCTATAGACAGCTAGGTCAGACAGGGCTGATAGTTCATTTTAATAATTACCTGCCCCCAAAGGAGACTTCCAATGCCCAGAAAGATGCACCACAGCCAGTGTTCTAGGGTCAGAGGCACACAGCTGAATGCTTTACCACCAAAGTGCACTATTAGGACCTAGAGAGTACAGAAAAAAAAAAACACACAAATGAAGAACATTACCAATGTCAATAGGGTATTTACAGAAACAATAGTACAATTGCCTTGCCAGTGAATGATTACCTGTACAACCAGTGTTCCCAGGATAATGGAGCAAAAGATGGGGTTGTTAAAAACACCCTCAAAGACATTCCTTTCTCCATGGATCTTGCGAGCATTGAACTCGTTGAAGATCTGCATGAGGACGAACGTGTTGAAAACAATAGTATAGTGTTCAGAGGGGGGCGCGTGAAGTGGGGCGTTCCTGCCACAGTCGATGTCAAACATCTTCTCACCTACAAAAGAATGGGACAGAGGTCAATGTGCCTGTGTCTGAGGGTTTTAAAATTTGCCACTGATCTGCATTCAAACATACAGAGAATTGGAGATTTGACTAACCGACAAAAAGGAGCGTGAAGATCAATGTCAGTTGGTAGACAGCGTGGCCTAAAATGTTTTTCATCATGGTGCGTGAGATGAGCGGCTTGTTGCGGCCATATGGGTTCCTGAGGAGCAATGCTTCGGTGGGTGGCTCAGTGGCGAGAGCCAGAGAGGCGAAGGTGTCCATGATGAGGTTGACCCATAACATCTGAACGGCTTTTAGAGGCGAATCCTACAAATGTGACAAAATTAAATTTTAATTTGTAATAAAAATGTCCATCAAACTAATTTTCTACATGTGTCTTAGTTAATAAGTCAGTGCTGCCCAGTTTCAGTCCTTCTGCAACTTTTAGATGTCTGACAAACCTGGATTAAATGAGTGGCTGTTTAGCAGGAGCTGAATAAAATGGGAAACCTGGTTCAGATACATTAGAGAATGGAGGGATCTAAAAGTATGGGTGAGTAGGACTACAGGACAGGGCTAACACTAAACACAGGGCATTCACCACAGTAACAGGTGGCAGCCTTTTAAGCTTCCACAACAATATATCTTTAAACATGAGATGGGCATAGAATTTCTTTTTTTAATATAGAATAATCTCACTGTAATCTTGGAATTAATCTAGATTAAAATAGCTCATTTGAATTCTGCCAAAGTAATTCCTGAATCAGAATCAAAATTACTTTATTAATCCCGTGGAACCATTTACAGAAGGGAGAAAAATAAGATTGTAAGTACAAATGAGATATAAGAATAAAATAAAGGTAAGAATTAAATAAGAATAACAATTAAATAAGATAAGGATGGTATGCGTGTGCTATCTAAATAAGTGAAAGTAAGTCTTTCCAAAATGCATCACAAACTGCTTGAGGAAGCTTTTCTACTATGATAACTGGTGATGAAGATAAATGATATGAAAAAAATGAAAAACCCAAACATCCATACCTCAGGAGCCAGCATCCAATTCCACATTGCCATCACAGTTCAATTAATGACCAAATTCCTCTGTCCACAAGATATGTAACATAACATAACTACTGTCTGTATTCATCTGATAGACTAGAGGAATGCTGACCCTTCTGAATATAAACAATATACAGGACACTGGTTCTTGAGGACTAAAATTTCAGATATATGTTAAACTCTATAAATGTAGCTAGATGGGCCTAATTTACTCATAATTTCTCTTTGCTATGACTCTGTTAATAGAGTAGTGACAATAATATGTCTCTATTCTGAAAGGGAATACCATGCTTTGAAGCTGTAATTTGAATCTGACCTGGGTAATGCAGGCTCCGGTGATGGCCACAGTGACAGCAACGACATTGACTGTGAGCTGGAACTGCAAGAACTTGGAAATGCTGTCATAGACGTTTCTTCCCCACATAACTGCCTTAACGATGCTGGAGAAATTGTCATCTGTCAGGATGATGTCAGACGCTTCCTTCGCTACATCCGTCCCGGCAATGCCCTGAGGATCACAGCATGCAGTAGAATATCAGGGCCAATGTTTCATAAATGTCTTTTAGCAATGTCAAAATCAGCATTGGTAAAAAAAATAAAAATAAAATGATCACAATGTGGAAAATGATGTAGCACTTTCAGTCTGACGCTGTAGATAAGAAAAGGTTCTTGATGCAAAATGAGAAATTAGGCCTGGTTGAGTAAAGGTTTAACCAACTGCTATACCATAGCAAAGCCAACATCCGCTTTCTTGAGAGCGGGACCATCATTGGTGCCGTCTCCGGTCACCGCCACAACCTGCCTCTGCTCCAGGACAGTGCTGTCAATGATACCTTAAAACAAAACAGATCAAACAGGTGAAGGTCAATCATGGCACCATTCTAAACAATCACATCCTACTTTTTTTTAACACAACAATTTATACAATACTGACCTATAAATTCATTTATGAAAACTAGTTAAAAGAGTTAGCTCAGATTTTTCTTTTAAGAGAGCTTCAATGAAGTGAATATCGGTGCTAGTTTGGTTCTTTGATCCTTTACTTTTTTAGATTATCACAACAATCTTGTCAAAGTCAAATTAAAAGCATTTGTATGTTGAATGACATTTAAGAAAAATCACCTTCTGATTTTCCATGTTGTTTTTTTTTTTATGAGGGGCATTCAACAAGTAATGCCCCAGACCCACTTCCAGTAGCTTGATCTAGCTGAAAATTAACATGTGCAATTATTTATCTCTCTATAGAAAGTGGGAAATGACAGCTCTGAACTAATGGTGGTTTCTGATTTACAGCGTTTGAACTCAGTCAAGTCTGAAATGGAGCCTGTTGAAGGACTGGTTATACTCCCACAGCAGTGTGTCACAGTGAGCTTGTCGCAGGTATGATGATTTTTGATTTACGCCCAATATTGAAATTTGGTCTGCGCTGTGTTATTCCACACCACAACGCAAGAGGGACAATCACGAACTAGCTGTGGGTTTAGATACGACCGAGGTGGTGAAGAAGTGGGGGCAAGTTTGTGGGACAACAGAGAGACATGAGGGTGAAAAAGAGCTGGGATCCATGAGGAAAAAGGTTCCCAGCGTTCTTGTGCACCCCACTCTTCAGCTGGTCCATCTTCACGCGTCGTCTTCCACAATGGCGGTCATACAAACAAAACAAGCAGGTAAGGTACCAAACAGGAAATACGCATAGTGTAGTGCGAATGTAGATCCGACCAATCAGAGGCCACCTGTCTGCGGTCACCTACAATTTGGGAGAGGTGTTGCAGAGTGTCTGAGGAAGGGGGAGGGGGGCATATCTGCTTTAACTGCTACACACACGCAGACAAGATGGTTTCTAAGTATAAACGAGCCTTGAGTTTTAAGGCAGTGATCTGTTTTTTGTATTCGAAGGGACGCACACCACGGGAGACTTTTGAGACTAGACTCTTGTAAAATGTTTTACAAAGCCACATGATGGGGAATCATCACCATAAGGTACTGTAGTAGCTGTAATTTGTCACTTAATCCATAGAGATAAATAATTACACATGCAAAATTTTACCTAGATCAAACATGTTAAATGCCCCTCATACCGTAATTGAACCCAGTCAAATGCAGGACAATGTTTCAATCGGTGGGATACCAGGAAAGAGGTCCCACACAAATGAGGAGATCCATTCCCCCAGTGGAGCAAGAGCCTCAATGCATTGCATCCATTGTTATGCTCACATCAGGTCAATGAATGAAATAAACAGTTGAAAACTGCTTTCTGGTCTTTACTCAGCTTATACTATCAGATATACATTTTTAATGATCGGAAACTATGGTGAGAAAGAAAGAAAATGCATAAAAAAATGGGGCAGGATTTCATAGCTCTGGGCAACTTGGTAAACCAAAAAACAAAACGCAAAACAAACAAACAGAAAACAAACCCTGTTATTTTCTTTTGTCAATCAATACATGACTAACCTTTGACCAAAGTGTGTTTGTCCATCGGAGAGGATCGAGCAAGGACTCTTAATTTAGGCCAAATTTTATCAATCCGCTCCTGTTCAATCTGATGGGAGTAAGGAGAGAAAGGCATTTAATTTGATATGCAACAGGTCACCATGTGGAATGATACAAAGGCTACAGAGGAATTTCGTTTTCACATTTCCCTGCATCAAGCCTTTTCTGTCGCCATTTGTCTGACCTCTCCCAATTCATTACGGATCCGTTTGTTGAACTCTTTCCCTTCTATGCATAAGAATTCATCTCCAGGCAGCAATATGCCACATTTGGAGGCGATGGCTCGAGCTGTGTTGATGTTGTCCCCGGTCACCATGCGGACTGTGATCCCAGCTCTCTGGCACTTTCTGATGGCTTCTGGTACCTTTTGGGGAAGAGCAGAAAACACATGAGCACGGAGTAAAAGACGATGAAATCATCGTTGATAGTTGGCGTAGCTGGGATATGCAACGCAAAGAAATTACAATTCTTTCTTCAACATTTATGTCGACCAAATTCATTCTTTCAGTTTCAGATGTTCCAGCTGTGTTGATCTCTCAACTCCGAACCCGTTTTATGTCTGTAGTCTCCAACATGGGAGATTTAAAATACATATGCTGCCCTTAGATTTAGATTTGGTTACCACCGAGAGTAATCCATGGATTATTGCTATTCTCTTTTAACAAAAGGGATTTTCAATAGATAAAAAAGAACAAGAGTACATCGCTAGCATTAGAGCTGGTTCACATGGAAAGAAAATTGTGTTGATATCTTCACATTCTTCCCCTTCCAAGAGCCCTCGATATCCGGGCCTCCTTGGGGCCGATTATCCAGCCCTGTCTAGTCTTTACACTGACTGGGTCTACTCGGTACAACACACTAGGTTGGACATTGGTTACTTTAGATTTAGACTTAAATAACTTTTATTGTAATTTCATTTTGTACAGCTTTCATGACATTTCTTGAAGTGGAGCAGTGATCAAATGTAAACAGTGTGGGAGCAAAAACGTGGTGCAAAAAACACATTGATATGGAAAGCATTGTTCAGATTTAATTGGGCTATATTTATGTATAGCTCAACTCTGATAGTGCTTTGTTTAAAAAGGTGTTGATTTTTTTAAAGTACTACATAAGTTAACATGGTATCAGGGGCAAACTTACCATACAGGTGAAGAAGGTAAATGTCTGGGCCCCCAAACCAGCAAGAGGCCCCACCTGTGAGGGGCCTACTGGTTGCCCACTCCTCTAACAACAAACGTGGTATATTTATACATGTTTGGAATAAAATACGTTTGATAAGCATAGAAACAATCACAAAAAAGCATTAGTCAAAACCCCATAAACTTCTTTGCTCTACTTTCCAAACACAAAAACAGGCCGGTCCTTCCCATCATGTAAAACATCCAAAGACACAGTGTGGAGCAGTGGGAGTATATATAAAACTAATATTGGCTTAATCATTGTATGTTTTCTATAAAAACCCAGATCTCACGATAGAAAAAAAAATGTCTGTTTAAAAAAAATCCATTAGGCCGCAATATTACATCAAATTTAAATATAGCTTTATCACTTTACATATATTTCTACCCAAACTCCTATAATCTGACAATGAAGGCTAACAAAAAAAAAAAATGGAACACGTCGGTTACACAACTCTGTGCACATGCAAGGACGTGCTGGCAGTTTGTCTGATCTTTAACGGGCAGAACAGTTTGCTGGTCCGAGGATGTTGATCTATATCGTCCATTACAGTGAAAAATCAAACCATTCACTCTGAATGTAGCTAAACACATTAAAGGTCCTTAAGATCAACACATGGCTGCAGTCAGTACAGTTGCTCATTAAACTGGGACAATTTATCAAATCTGCTGGTGTCATAGTTTCTGTACTGATTCTCAACATTTTTTAGAGAGCAGTATTTAAAAGAATTTAGTAGCCCAATATCAATTAATCAATCAATCAGTTAATTCATTTATTTATTGCTTTCTTTTTCCTGATCAATATGTTTGATAAGTAAAATTATAAACGAAAAGTAATTCAATAAAGATACAGGTTTACTCAAAGTAAAACATAAATACTATTTTATTTCGGACATTACAACAGACCGCTGTGGTGGACATTCTCCTCAGGTGAATGATGTTAAGTCAAACCTGAATTGGAACTGAACTTAATCAATCTGTTTTCTATTACAAATTAGAATTCAGATTACCAGGGTGCACACTAAATATATAAAACTGAGAATTAGCGCTTGGCCAAGTATTGCTATTATTTTATGTATTTTATTGTGTGGAATTTTATTTTCATGATTGTTTGTTTTGTACAACTGTTTGTCAATTTTATGGGTGATGTCGGGGTCTGCAGGTGGCGCAGTGGAGGACTTAGTCCTCGACCTGAGGTCCTTAACCACATGTCTCTCCCCCTCTCTCAAACCCCCTTTCATGTCAGCCTACTGTCGAGAAATGAGCCACTAGTGCCGCAAAAACAAAAAAAAAATTTAAAAGCCACTGTTTGTTGTTGTTTTTTTAAAGAAAAATCAAATGACCACAAAATGCACAGATTATATTGTTTGTAGTTCAGAATGGTCTTGTTCAGCTGCAGCTGTTTAACCAGGGGATATGACAAACCTCAGGTCGTACGGGGTCCTCAATGCCAACCACGGCGATGCATGTGAGTCTAGAGAGGATCTCGGCCTCATTGTCCCAATCAGGCTCCACGTCACTGTTAGTGAAGTCTCTGTAGGCCAGACAGATTGTCCTCAGCCCCTCAGACGCCATCGCCTCAATCACATTCTTCACCAGTTGGTCTCGATCCTTAGGTTTAAAGACTTTGGCCTCGCCACTGGCTGTCAAGATCTTACTGCACCTGAAACCAGACGCCAGTCCTGGATCAGAGTACAGCTGTGATAGAGCGTAAAGCTTTACGGCCAGAAGCATTAAACCTACTTCTTCAGCAAGATTTCAGCAGCACCTTTACTGAACATTCTGTAGGTGCCATCAAAGTTCTTCAACACTGTGCTCATGGATTTCCTCACAGAGTTAAAGGTGTAGACCTTGAACAGCTTCTCCTCTGGGATTTCATTGCGGACACTCTGGTAGTCTCGTTTCAGGTCTAGGCTGAGTCCCAGTAAGGCACATTCGGTCTTGTTCCCTATTTGGCGAGGCAGCCCACCCTCTCTCTCAGGAGGCTGCAGAAAGCAAGAAGCACATTTATTTATTCTACAGGATTAGCAGTTAAAGAGAGCTAAATGGTCTGCAACTTTAAAAACACAGGCATAGCCTTTGTATTTCTTCTAATTGGCCTAAATAAAGAAATGATGTTATTTTTAGTAGATTTGATCCTTATTTAAAAATCAATCCTGATTTAAAGCCATGTGTCAGGGCAGAGACCAGGCTGCAGCACTGGAAGACAGTTGGCAGATGTGTTTTAATTATTTACAAATAAAGCTGCTATGGTAGTTATAGTTCATGCCATTTTTCTGTATCTTCATTGATTTCTTACACCTGTGCACCTGCAACAAAATATTGGTGTTTAGCATATATATGTTCATGTCTTTCAATTATATTATGTGACTTATTACCCTGTTACCTTGTCACTTCCATCATTTCATATTCAGTGTTTGACACTTTGGGCTGCTAGTTCAAGGGTTCAGGCTAAAGCTCTATATTTGTTTAGTCTATAGTTTAAAGAACTAGCCTAGTTGGTCCCCTGGTGTTTGGACACTGAGGAAAGGTAAAATTGAATAGAATAGAGAGCCTGAAAAATCACATATACATATCTCACTGGGGACGCTTGTATAGTAGCATTTCATGCAATTCCAAGTTTTCTGCTCTAGTCTATCTATGTCTTGTTCCAGTAGCCAATTTGTCATCAAATGCCCTGGTCCCCTAGCAACTGACGCAGACCTTGTTAACCCGGGCGATGTCCGAGCCAGTATGGCTCTTGTATTTGCGGTTTCACTCAAGCCACTAAGCACTAAGGGTCCACCTGGATGTCCATGCCGGGAATTGAACCCACGGTCACCTGTACCGGAGTCATCGGTGTTACCTACTGAGCTTTGAGCTATCCAGTAATCTTATCCATGTAAGAGCAGCAGTGGTGCCAGTGGTAATTGGAGCACTGGGGGCTGTGAGCCCCAAACTGGGAGAGTGGCTACAGCAGATTCCAGGTAAAACATCAGAGGTCTCTGTCCAGAAGAGCGCAGTCCTAGGAACAGCTAAGATACTGCGCAGAACCCTCAAACTCCCAGGCCTCTGGTAGAGGACCCGAGCTTGAGGATGACACATACCACCCCACGAGGGGTGAGAAAACAGTTTAACACAGGCATATATATATATATATATATATATGCATTTTATATAATAATTTCCATGTTTTAATTATTACTTCTGTCAATTTCAATCAATCAATCTATCTATCTATCTATCTATCTATCTATCTATCTATCTATCTATCTATCTATCTGTCTGTCTGTCTGTCTGTCTGTCTGTCTGTCTGTCTGTCTGTCTGTCTGTCTGTCTGTCTGTCTGTCTGTCTGTCTGTCTGTCTGTCTGTCTGTCTGTCTGTCTGTCTGTCTGTCTGTCTGTCTGTCTGTATCATTTGATAAATTTGGCTTGAATTTTTGTATTTTTTCATTAATATCAGGATTGAATCTCTGGGTGTATAGAATGTAAATTGTGCACCTGATTATACAAGGTAATAAAAGGTTATAATTGGTTAACAGAAGAGAGATGATGTATAACGTGTGTGATGTACAGGAAGTAAAAGTTTAGTTTGGGAGTAGTACATCTCTGCAGTGTTAAAAAAGTCAAATGTTCACCTAACCTGCTTGCTTTACGCTGTGCTCTGTAGAGTGAATCCTGTAGAATGTGATCTGATGAGTACTGAGCTGCTGTGACAGCGCTAAAGACTTAACCCACAGAGCTTCCTGAATGAGCATCTATTTTTAAAGCTCACCATAATCTTGGTGGTGTAGGCGCAGTTGACCCCGATGCCAAGGATGAGCAGGTCCAGAATCTTGGTTGGGATGAGGTCTGGCTCTGGCACCTTTTTATAGTGTCGCCCTGCGATATAGGCTTGCACCACAGTCATCCGGTTCATGGTTAATGTCCCCGTCTTATCGGAGCAGATTGCTGTAGCGTTGCCCATTGTCTCACAGGCATCCAGGTGGCGGACCAGGTTGTTATCTTTCATCATTTTCTGAAACATTTCATTTAACACTTAAATAAACATAGACATTCGGTAAATGGAAAAAAAAGCACCATTATCTAGAGGGAGTTAAACTACCGCAGATCATTTTCAAACCGTATTTAAGCTCCAGTTAACCCTTTATAGGGCACTCAGTGAAATCCTTTAAAAATCCAAATTTCCAGCCAATAGTGTTATTGGGATCCAGGTCAAGACCTTATTACCTTTGTAACATAAAAAAATATGGATATTTTTGTGGGAAAAATTAATGGCAATGTAATAACAAGAAAAACCAACTTGATTCAATATATTAAGAAAAAAAACAAAAGTGCTTCTATAAGAAATTCATGAAAAACATTTTTTGTTGGTACAACATAACCTTAGAGGCATTAATGCTTATACTGGCACTTACATTTTTTTGTTTATACACCTAAATTTAATTGTTAACTAGGCTTATTAACTATTTACTTTATTTTTTAACATTTCAATTAGCTTTTTACCTTTTTTTTCTTGAATTTTAAACTTTTCTTTTTCAAGTTAATTTACAGTGGGTAATATATCATTCAAGGGCTCATCTAATTGGTCAAACGGTAACGTGCCCTATAAAGGGTTAAAGGAATTAGAGCAACATTATACTATAAAAGGTTTCACTGACTAATGAGAAATAAGCTTTAATTATTACAAGTCTTTATTGAAGTAAACATTTATTAATTTTAACCTGTTGCTACTTTTTTACCAAAGACTACAAATCATTTTTGAGGGAATATTATGTGACAAATTACCAACTAATTCTTTCCGATTGACTAACTATTAATTAATAAGCTGCAATTTTCCTGAAAGACTGAGTAGTGTGCCAACTGTCTTATAAGGACTAATTAAAATAAATCTTACACATTAAACATATTAAGAGATAAAACATGTTACAATTAAGTTAATAAATAAAGAAATGATGCATAAGCATGTAAAGCACTCATAGTTTCCAATTTACAGAGATGTAAAAAGATAATGAATAGAGAGGGTATGTCACTCTGATATGCTGTCAGGCTACCGCTTTGTTTCAGTGAAGTAGATGGGACCTGTGTCCTAGCTCGGTTTTTAGTGAAATCAGCGTTAGCTGTTAGGAGAGCCTTTGTTAATGAGAGCTTCTGCTTGCAGAGAATTGTTCAAATTTGGCTCCATGTAGCCCATTGATTCACAAAAGCCTACAGTGCCTAATGCCACCATGTCTTTTTTATCCTGTTACAAACATTTAGAGTAATGTCCTTAAGTTTTATCATTTCATTCTCACCTATTGAGGGCAGCAGAGAAGTTGGTGCTTCTCTAACTGTGTATCACAGCTAAATAGGCACTATTCAAGTGATAAATTAAGGAGTTTATCATGTTTTTATATTTACGAACAGAACCACTTAAAGTTCTTTCTAAATCCTAGTCTCCTTTAAACATAGATTCACGGACCAGAATCAATCAAATAATATAGTTCCATCTGAAACCAATGAAAATAGGTTTTTAAATGGTAATTTAGTCAGATATGTGGCAGGTAATATTTGCTTTATTGAAAGGTTTTTTCTGTCATTGTGTAAATGACAGATTATGGACAGATTCTGATATATCTGCAGTGTCACGACTATAAATCTGATACGGTACCTCTGTTGAAGCTCCTCGAAAATGTTAAATAAATAAATAAAAAGAAACAGCAGTAAGAAGTTTGGAAGGCTGGACCTGTTTGAGTCCACAGCCAAAACTCTTCTGTTCTCCTTATTTTCATGGACCTCTAAGGATCCAGTCCAGATAGACCAGGTCCTTGGAGGGTGCAGCCTATGAAATCGAGTGCACCCAAAGTTTTTGCCTTAGCATGCTCTTCTGCTGCTTTGGAGTTGCAAATTGCATGAAGGCTCTGGTTAAAAATCAACAGTGGAAAGCAGCAACACTACAACATCAAAAACGATTACTTTTAACTTAACGTTCAGGTGGAGCAAATTGTATGAATTATAAGTTGGTTATTGGTTTTACATCCGTACATCTGTGACACAACTGGTCTGTCTTTCCTCAAAGAGAGCTAAGCTGATGGCCTTTGTAAAACTGACCTTGACCGAATATGCAAGGGAAATAGTGACGGCCAGGGGGAGACCCTCAGGCACGGCGACCACCAGCACTGTCACGCCAATGATGAAGAACTTGACTAGAAATTGCACGTAGACTGGCATACACTCTTGCAACAAAGGAAGTCCCTGAATCCAGAAGGTATCAATCAGGAAGCGAGTGATTAGAATGATGACAGTGAGGGCTGACATTAACAGACCTGATCACAGGGAGAGAAAAGAACAAGAAAGAGTACAGTGAATACATTATAAGATTCTTTATATTCTTACCTATCATTTTCACCAACTACTGCCTGGGTCTTCTCTGCACAACTGGACCAAGTCAAATCTCAAGTTAGGACGGGCAAATATCGAGTTAAGTCCAAATCAAAAACAATAATAAAGGATCCCTAAAAAACATTTTTACCTTAATATCTAATAAATTATCTCCTAGGTCCTTTTTAATCGATACTGGTGTAAGAACTTATAATAATTGAAGTGTTTATGAGACGAGGAAAAGGTCTAACATTTTCCCCTACTGTGTCTGGTCAGAAAACCACACTTCCAACTTCTTGCAACTTCATGTCAAGCTCTCATTCTCAGGATAAGGTGAAGAGATTTATGTTCGATGTAAGGCCTTTAGCATCAGTAGACACGTCTGTCGCGCCCCTACTCACGTGTAGATGTAGACAAAGTTACTATAGTGACTTTAGAGTCATCACTGCTTAGTAAGTAATTATAAAATATGGTAAGTCTGAATCACCTTATGAGATCAATTGACACATTTACTTAAAGGAATAGTACACCCAAAACATGATTAGCCTTCATTTTCTACTCACCTCCATGCTGAACAACACTCTGGAGTACTTTTTTGATATCTCAAATGCATCTGGAGATCTGGGAGGCTTCTTGCTGTCTGCTGACATTCAAATAATGGAGGTCCATGGCGCCCGAGACAGAAAGGTCCATAAAAGTCCACAAAAACGTGTCAATATTCCTCCATACTGCTCGTCCAATGTAATCCAAGTGTCCTGAGTGGGTAGCATCCAGAATTTACTCGAAACGAAGTCATTTAGAATGTTTTTAGAGCATAAACAGTAGTGTATAGGATTTCCTAATAGCGCCCCCATGCGCGCTCACGATTCTACGGAAGCCGGCAGACCAAACCGGAAGGAAGTGCGCATTCAGCGTCTGGTCTGCCGATAATGCAAGCGTAGAAGAAGAAATGTGCTGTTTACCTGTGCAAAGAAAGAAACAACGAAAGAAAAATGTCTGAGGACTTCAGTATTGAGGAAGAGCATGAGTTCTTTGCCGAGCTGAATGCGCTGGTTTGGTCTGCCGGCTTCCGTAGAATCGTGAGCGCGCATGGGGGCGCTATTAGGAAATCCTATACACTACTGTTTAGGCTCTAAAACGTTCTAAATGACTTCGTTTCGAGTAAATTCTGGATGCTACCCACTCAGGACACTTGGATTACATTGGACGAGCATTATGGAGGAATATTGACAAGTTTTTGTGGACTTTTGTGGACCTTTCTGTCTCGGGCGCCATAGACCTCCATTATTTGAATGTCAGCAGACAGCAAGAAGTCTCCCAGATCTCCAGATGCATTTGAGATATCAAAAAAGTACTCCAGAGTGTTGTTCAGCATGGAGGTGAGTAGAAAATGAAGGCTAATAATGTTTTGGGTGTACTATTCCTTTAACTGACTTGTATAAAAGTAACAATTTGCAGCAAAAACGCTGCTTTACACTTGTTTACATTAGATAATGTACTTTACTACTCACTTTCTCAGATATATTTGTTGTGGTGAGAATCTTCCAACTGCTCTGAAAATGACAGTGAGCTGTATACGTAGGGTGCAGGGCAGGCAGAAAACAGTCTGTGTTCACGACTGCCATTTTCAAAAGGTCCTGTACCACTCAGAAATAGCTGTGCTGTTTTAATCGCTGATCTCCATTTTTTCACTGGACTGCCGATAGGCCGTTGGTAATACATGGTGCTGTGAAGTCACCAGCCGCCATGTTGGTACTCCCTAGTTAGAACGGTCGTAATGTAAACAAAACGTGCGCTACAGCATTTAACAAAGATAATGCCAGCTTTTTGGCATGAAAGCATCCGAATGCAAGTCAGAATGATCACATTCAACCAGAGCCATTTTCCCTAGCGTAACCTGACTGCACATTATCTGCGTATATAAACTGAACATACAGTATATTTCTAAAAGGTACAGTTACAGAAAGGAGACGTTTATGGAAAGCAATTATATCGAATTGATCTACAACTACAACTAATATTTTTGGGCATCCGTTTTAAGAGACAACCTGGATGATTCATTCAATTGAACAGATAACAGCTAAAAAAAAAAGGGCCAGATTTTCACATTTTACATTTTTATGGCATGACTTTTTGATTGTTGGGAGTACCAAGATGGCGGCAGGTGATTTCAGTTTTTTCGGTCTATGAGCAATCCAGTGAATAAATAGAGATCAGTGGTTTTAATGAACTGAGTAAACAGTCCACTAAATATTAAGTTATAAATGGCATCATTTTGGATGATTTATTTTTATAACTTTATTTAGAGCATCAAGTCATAGAATTGTAGATTATTTAGTCCAAGTCATTAGTAATTAAGTTAAGTGATAAGATCGTTTCAATACAACCAAGTCAAGTGGAGAGTTTTCAAATCTGTGACTCCGGTCTGACTCGAGTTCAGTCAGAGTTAACATCTCTGATCTGTTCCTGCATCCAGTCCCCTAAATTTAACCAGGTACTCTTTATTCTTCGCATCTCAGATTTCATTTCTGGCTCATCTGGTTTTTAGACACTGACGTGTTTTGCTCCTCCATTAATCAAAAATAGCCTAGATCTATATTCCTGACAGACAACAGAGAAGGGCTTGCCATCATGCCACTGCACAATAGAGCTGGGGGGATTTGACTCATCCACAGGAATGCCTTCTATTTGTGACAAAGAGGGAAATGCAGGAATGACGGAATCAGTGCAAAGGAGGCTTAGGGCTTTTAGAGGCCTTATGCAAGGTTTCAAATCTTTCATTAACTTACTATAATATAACTAATCAACCACCATGAATACAAATTCTGGAGTGTATAGAAATATCAAAATTATTTTTATTATGCAAGAACTCTAATTCAAAATGAAAAAATTAAATAAAATCAACCCCTTGCTGCCTTTTGTACCTGCTCTGCCGATCTGTACAGCTAACTTGGTCAGCTTCCCTTGAAGGACTGATTTCTCCTTCTTTGGCAGAGCCTTCTTCTTCTTCTCTGGTTCTCCATCAGCATTAAGTGGTTGCATCTCCACAGTTGGTCCATCCTTGTTTTTCCCTGTGTGGACAAAGGAAGAATTGATTCAGCTTTAATAACAATATTTCCCCTGCTTTACTTGGTCATGACATCTGACTCAACCGTAAAAGCAACTATAAAGAGACTCGAGCCTCTTCTTTTAAGACCTTGAGCTGACATTTGTTGTGATTTGGCCCTAAATAAATAAACCGGACAGAATCAAACATCATTTAGACTTCTGAGGACCAATGGACCGCAGCCTAGATAGAGGAATGCAGAATAGCTGGGCAGGAACCCAAGCTGGGGCTAAGCAAATGTGACTGATTAATATAGAAATAAACAAAAGCAGAAAAAGGATACAACCCCCCCCCCCCCCCCCCCCCCCCCAAACAAAGAGTGTCTGTGCCATGAGAAACATGCTACAACTGAATGAACTTAATGTGTGTCTTTATGGTATAAATAAATAACCCAAATGACTACAAAGACGATTTTTTAGCTGACCGCATTACTGACTCATTGATGCTTTGGGTGCTTGGAGTAGCAACACATTCCGATGTACAGATTGTGAGATGCCTTGTGCTTCCTGTGCATACATTCAACTCCTCACATGTTGATTGATGATCGTCCTCAAAACAACGGGACCTTAGATGGACGTAGCAAACTGAGCCTTGCCAACTTTTTGGCATGAAAGCATCCGAATGCAAGTCAGGATTATCACATTCAACCAGAGCCATTTTCCCTAGCGTAACCTGACTGCACATTATCTGCGTATATAAACTGAACATACAGTATATTTCTAAAAGGTACAGTTACAGAAAGGAGACGTTTATGGAAAGCAATTATATCGAATTGATCTACAACTACAACTAATATTTTTGGGCATCCGTTTTGAGAGACAACCTGGATGATTCATTCAATTGAATACTGACCCCCCCCTTGATGGTGGAGCCAACCAGAGAAAGTAAACTGCCCTTAATTGGCGACTCCTCAGCAAATCCCGCCTCTTGACTCAGTTATAACAGAACTGTTTCCTTTCTAAGTATGGCCAGTCACATTAACAAAGCATGTTCAAAATAATAGACAAAAGATGTCCAATCCAGCACAGCAACAGTGTAAATATAAACTCTTAATTTTTTATCATGGATAAAGTAGTCTAATCCCAGTGTTACTTTCTTGTGATGTGTTGAGTCACAACATATTATCAGTGTTGTTAATTAAGTCCCTGACCAAAGGAGATTATTCCTCATCTTACCATGGTTTTATGAGTAAAACTACTAGCAGGGTTAGCATGCAACACTGTCAGAAAGAAGGGTGTGTGTGCTTCAATGTCTGTTTGTAAATGTGTGTTGGTGTGTGCAAGTGTGTGTGTGTGTTGTAGCAAGCATGTGTTCTAGCAAGCTGATCTTATCTATGCAATAAGGTTATTAGTGGACAAGAAGGTACCAGCAGCGGGGAGGAGAGGAAAGCAGCTGTCGAGCTTAATGCCGATAATCTTCTTGCTCCTAATCACCATCAACAAAGTCAGGAGCACCTGGTGCCTTTTTAGACCACAGGGGCATAGCCACTGTGTGAGATGGATAATGTGGAATAACAAGAAAAAGCGCGAGAGGCAGCAAAAGTAGAACTTTGGAAGGAGGCACTACCAAGAAGTGTCAAAAGTAGATGAAGAGTTTTTGTCCTGTATTTAAGAGATAAGTGATGTGTGCAAGTATATATGCGTATGTATATATATATATATATATATATATATATATATATATATATATATATATATATATATATATATATATACACTCACCAGCCACTTTATTAGGTACACCTGTCCAACTGCTCGTTAACACTTAATTTATAAGCAGCCAATCATATGGCGGCAACTCAGTGCATTTAGGCATGTAGACATGGTCAAGACAATCTCCTGCAGTTCAAACCGAGCATCAGTATGGGGAAGAAAGGTGATCTGAGTGACTTTGAATGATTGTTGATGCCAGAAGGGCTGGCCTGAGTATTTCAGAAACTGCTGATCTACTGGGATTTTCACGCACAACCATCTCTAGGGTTTACAGAGAATGGTCTGAAAAAGAAATAACATCCAGTGAGCGGCAGTTCTGTGGGCGGAAATGCCTTGTTGATGCCAGGGGTCAGAGGAGAATGGGCAGACTGGTTCGAGCTGATAGAAGGGCAACAGTGACTCAAATACCCACCCGTTACAACCAAGGTGGGCAGAAAAGCATCTCTGAACGCACAGTACATCAAACTTTGAGGCAGATGGGCTACAGCAGCAGAAGACCACACCGGGTGCCACTCCTTTCAGCTAAGAACAGGAAACTGAGGCTACAATTTGCACAAGCTCATCGAAATTGGACAATAGAAGATTGGAAAAACGTTGCCTGGTCTGATGAGTCTCGATTTCTGCTGCGACATTCGGATGGTAGGGTCAGAATTTGGCGTCTACAACATGAAAGCATGGATCCATCCTGCCTTGTATCAACGGTTCAGGCTGGTGGTGGTGGTGTCATGGTGTGGGGAATATGTTCTTGGCACGCTTTGGGCCCCTTGGTACCAATTGAGCATCGTTGCAACGCTACAGCCTACCTGAGTATTGTTGCTGACCATGTCCATCCCTTTATGACCACAATGTACCCAACTTCTGATGGCTACTTTCAGCAGGATAATGAGCCATGTCATAAAGCTCGAATCATCTCAGACTGGTTTCTTGAACATGATAATGAGTTCACTGTACTCAAATGGCCTCCACAGTCACCAGATCTCAATCCAATAGAGCATCTTTGGGATGTGGTGGAACGGGAGATTCGCATCATGGATGTGCAGCCGACAAATCAGCGGCAACTGTGTGATGCCATCATGTCAATATGGACCAAACTCCCTGAGGAATGCTTCCAGCACCTTGTTGAATCTATACCACGAAGAATTGAGGCAGTTCTGAAGGCAAAAGGGGGTCCAACCCGTTACTAGCATGGGGTACCTAATAAAGTGGCCCGTGAGTGTATATATATATATATATATATATATATATATATATATATATATGCACTCCTGAAACCATCAGGAGAGCAATGGCGAGTGGGTTGATGTTCTACCGTCGGGGCCCAGGGTATTGTAATGTCAATCCATAATAGAAAGCTGAAGTGATCCAACCAGTTGTTGACCAACTTGGAGATCCCCCAGGTGCTGTTCCAGCTGTTTATGCATATCTGACACTGATTGGTTTAAGCCCACTGGTGCAGGTTAGCCGCAACGAACTAATACAAAGTCAAAGTTCAGACCCTGTCATCAGCATTGTTCTACACCATATAGAAATAGGTCAGCGTATGTCGGCTCACAGACACAACCCAGATGTTGGGTTGCTGCAGACAGAATATCCAAAGGTTTGCATTAGACATAACCTGCTCTACAGAACATCCAAAAGAGCCTGTGGAAAAGAACTTCATCAGCTTGTCCTGCCTGCTCAGTACCGCTCGATGGTCCTGAGGGTCTGTGCATGATGATGTTGGCCACCTTGGCATTGAACGAACCACAGAATTCATCAGAGAAAGGTTCTGTTGGCCAAAAATGGTCCCAGAGATTTCAGCATATGTCCCAAATTTTGGGGAGGTGCATAGCAAGGAAAACACTTCCTCAAAGAGCTGCACCTTTGCAACACATCGCAAGTACTGGGCCCTTAGACTTAGTATGCATTGGTTTTCTCTCTGTTGAACCTAACTCTAAGGGCATTACAAATGTGGTAGTCATCACAGACTATTATACACAATAAGTACAGGCATTTTCTACAAAAGACTAGAAGGCTTTTATGTTTGCCAAAGTTCTTCTCTGAGAAGTTTTTTGTCCATTATGGTCTGCCTGCCCACATACATTCAGACCAAGGGTGAGACTTTGAAAGGTCATAAAAGAACTCCTTACAATGATGGGCATCTGGAAATCAAAAACCTTCCCCTATCATCCTTAAGGAGACCCACAAACAGAGAGGTTAATTAATTAATTTATACATAATCATTTTTACATTTCTATATGCTCCAGCCAGCTGACGTGGCTCTGACATCTGTTTCGGATGCTTCCTGGCCGCCTCCCTCGGGAGGTGTTCCAGGCATGTCCCATTGGGAGGAGGACACGCTGGAGGGAGTATATCTCTGAGCTGGCCTTTTCTACCTCACATGCAAATAAGGGTGTTTTCAGGCTTCAATTTCTACTTGTTGGTGGTTAGATATTACTGCATCGCTCTAGTCTCCATAACTTTCCCTCCATTTATTTTTTTCAGGTTAGTATGGACATGCTTCCTGGCAAGGACTACAGGACTATGGGGGCCACCATTTTGTTGGTTTCTGCTAAGATCTTTGGGGAGTGCCTTGAAGAGCACTCGTGGCATGTGGGAGGCAGTGTTGGAGAGCTTTCGGTCTGCAGTCTAGGCAGTCTCTGTATCGGATTAATTAAAATCATAAAACAGTCATATTGGGGCGTGCAGGTGCTGCATTGTTTTGGCTCAACCCATGTATGGAGGCCTTAGTCCTCGACGCAGGCGACCTGGGTTCGCATCCGGCCTCTGGTCCTTTCCCTCATGTCTCTCACTCTCTCTCATACCCCTACCTCCCCCATTCTTGTTAGCCTACTGTCCAAAAAACGAGCCACTAGTGTTGTAAAAACTCAAAGAAAAAAAACTAAAGAAAAAATCCCCCCAAACCAGTCATATTGTTTCCACCTGTGTGAGCTGTCCTCTACCTCACATAAAACTCAATGAAAATAGCAGGGAATCTTGCCCCGCTATTTTAAAGCACGTGCCATACAGGAATCTTACCTGCAGCAGTCAATTATTACAGAATGAGGAAAATGAACCAGAACCTAAAATTTAATCCATGCTTGCAATGAGCCTTGTTGGTGGACATCTCTGAGTCATGTAACAAAGTACCTCTGGTCCGAGTGGACCTGTCCACCTCTGGCAGCTATCTGCTCTTCTCTGTGTTCTTGTGACCCCATGTCTAGAAGAATGGCAGGAAGAAAGAGGGGCTCTGAATTAACAGAGGGATTGTTTTTATTATTTCTTATTTCAAAGTTGCATTGGGGTGACAGTGTGAACTTTGTGGCAATAGAACAGCTGCTGCATGGCTGCATGACCCGCTGGGTCCAGCTGTAGAGATGCATTCTCCATCTCCTCATTTATGGCGTTATAAGCAGGAATCATCCAGATACTGGCTTGGTAGAACTTCTGCCTTCATGTTCACAAAACTGCCTAATTTTTGTATCAGCAAACACACAACTTTGGCACTATTTAATTGTTAAAGGCATCCTGGCTTTTCAAATTCTTCTGATGTTCCTGTCTATCGCCATGGACTCTTCTGATAACAAACATTCTTTTATAAGAAATAAATGAGAATGCATCCATTTTAGAGCCCTTTCTATCAACATAAATAAACGAAATCCTTATTTATCCAGATAATAGTAGCAGAATTAGCTCGGTGGGAAAGTAAAACAGAAATAACAATGAAATGTGTCTAAAGGTCGGAGCTGAAGCCTCTCCTCATATGCAAAATGGGGCGAATATGCATACAGATGGATAAATAAAAAAACTGATGAGCAAAAACACAAATTCAAGAATAAACAAAGAGATAATTAAGCAAAGATTCCAATAAATCACACTTATTGTGCATTCATTTATTTCTACATTTATTCCTAACGCTGCCAGTTTCGGTCCTCCATAAAGCATGACAGTATGGCTTGATCGAATTGTCTCTGTAAAGTCTTGAACAAATGTTGTGAAGCTATGCTATATGAATTACCGGTAACCAAATAGATTTATTTATTTATTGTCAAATCAAGCCCATGCTTTTTAATGTCTCACATAAGAAAAAGATAAACATTTATAAAACTCTGTGCATAAAGATGAACATCTACAACCAAATACTTGTAGAAATTATCCTACTTGTAAGACAGATCCACAAAAAAGAGGAAAGGCCAAAAATAATCATACAGCGACCTTAGTAATACTTAACATTGCAACACTTGCACACATGTTTTTCATGATTCTTCGTGTATCACCTGCCGTCAACCACACTTTTGGACAATATGAAAAAGATCTAAAAAAAAAAATTCAAACCTGATTTTCTGCAGGATCAACCAACTAACCTGCCCTTGTTCTACATTAGTGTGGCGATTTAGCCGAACAGCACACAACTTCAAAAGATGTTTGCCCCTGCTCCTCTATTGGCTGCAGATTTCTGAGATTAAACAAAGAGTTAATAATTTCAACACTGTCAACCTTACACTTCAATTGTAATTTGAGTTAAGTGGAAATAAAATTTGCCTTATTTGCATTTTAAAAAGACACATACTGTATCAGTTGATATCAAAGCAAAGTTTTATCACAGAATGAGGCCTTATTTCAGTTCCTGTATTACCTTAACTGCAGATTAAAAGTCCTAAATCATGGAAATTCAACTTCTCTGAGCTTTTAACTACGTTATACTTAGTCAGTAAACAACACACCGACTTTCTACTATCAGTAAAGCATAACGTGATCATTTCTGCTAAAAAATTAGACGAAGTGGCTCTAGCACCTAATATACATAGTGATAGCAGCTGTTCTATGTTACTATGTGACATTTGCTCAAGGATAAACATTTAATCAATGCTTATTATTATATAATGAATGCCTATTATATATTCAAGCCCACATATTCCTTTTCTATAGTGGGATAATACACTTAGAGCCTGTGTTACCATACGAGACATTTATAAGACTTTTACAGTTTTGCGACCCCAGACAGATTTAATTTTTGTTTTGTTAGTCCATCATGGCTCTTTGAGCAGTTTGGGTTGCTGACCCCTGCTCTAGGCCATCATCATGAAATGGGCGGGTCACAGTGAAGGTAAAGATTTTTTTCCTTTTGTGAAAATGGCACTGAAAAGAAGTAATCGGTAAGAAGGAGAAAACTACTCTAATCCTCATATCTTCTGCTGGGGTCTGAGCGCCAAAGAATTTGATTTATGTCAATAACATCTTTCCAATTGTTTCTTTCTCTGTGTGATTCTCTCCAGGTTGAATTACTGTTGGTTTTACTGCACATATGAGCATGATGGAGTTTGGGAGTCTATATCATAGTGCATTATATTCTGGGTTGCAGCTGCAATATTTCTGGACATTGCTAACCTTTTTGAAGAGAAGAAGTAAGCTCACATCTGCATAGGCATTAAAAGGTCAGTTAGACTGTTAGTAGGAAACTATGATGTGATGCCTACCTTTCATGTTTTTGTCTTCCTTTTTATCTGCAAAGAACACAGAGTTAGTTAGTCAAATAAATGTAACAGTTTTTAAATACTCTAAAAAAGATGTCTTAATCCAGAGAAATTAACATAAAGAGACATTATGTAAGTTTTTACTAAAAAATATCTCTGGGCGCTCCGTACAGTGTAAAAAATCGTAAGTACTGAACCTTTAAACCCTGCAGTTTTATTATACAGTTTGAGCTATAGCAAAGTACAAAGACTGAAAATATCATACAGTGTATGCCCGGCTTAATCGCCCCTCATTACCCCCGTATAATACATGATGCAGGATGTACGATGAGGCTGAAACTGGGCTTGATCCAAAATATTCTCTCACGACTGGAGAATCGGCCTGAAAAGGGCAAAAACTTGTACAATTTATGCTGCATAAGTTCGACTCTTTGTCTCAGGTAATATAAAACTTCTGACAGCTAAAACTTTACTACACACATTGTCTTCCATCTGCATATACAAAAAAACCACGTAACTACATCACCATATTCACCACCTTTATGTTTTTTTTTCGTTTATTTTCTGCCTTTATAATGAACAAAACATTTTTCCTTTTTTAAAATGAATGATATTAGTTAACTTAAATAGATTTAGTAGTTTTAGCTTATTATACCCTGCTTTGGTTTTCATGTCAAACATTAAACTATTTAAAATTACCTAGCTCCATTTTCATTCAGGTGCTGTTGGATGAAAACACCTGCTGATAAATAGTATTTGAAAGTCATGTCTTGAAGAAATAGCAAAAATAATCTTATGAAGACCTCACAAAGGACCTAAGAGATGCCTTATCAATTGCCATATAGTATACTGGATATGTACAGTATATACTGCAGGTTTAACCTAACATCTTTGAGAGCAACCATTTGGATGGAAAAATCTCATTTAAGGTCAAGATACTTTTCACAAATTTAACGAAATAAGATGTTCCCAATACAAACTTCACAAAACTCATGTATTCCATCTTTTACAGTTAAAACATTTAAGCTTAAATTATTCATAGATTACAATAAAATGTCTTGGGAAAAAAGTAATATTTTAAAAATTATCAGATTTGAAATTCAGTCTGAAACCAGCTTTAAAAAATGTACTTTAAAGTAGCCTTCTTAAAATCTAAAAGTCTGTTGATCAAGACCAACTTACATTACAAAAAAAGGAAATTCAAAATATTTGGCCATCAGTGTAAAACCATATTTTTATTTAACCTGTCTGTGCAATGTGGGATTCTGGATGAGTAATTAATGGACACCACATTTTTTTCTTCTCAGTATTCTGAAACTTACTCTTCTTCTCCTTTTTGTCTTTGTTTTTCTTTTCCTCTTTTTTCTTTTTGTCCTCGCCACTGCCATCCCCATCTTCACTGGCACCAAGCAGTTTGAAGATGATTCCAGTCTGAGAGTTCACACCTACAGCAGTGACTAACATCTTTCCAGAGCCTTCCATTACGTGTGTGCCTGAGGGGAAACATGAAAAAAAACAAACATGTATATTTAATTTAAGAAGCACTGTAGACAAGTTATATTGTGAACTTAAATCTATGAATCCTGTCAAATCTGTTAAAGCCAATGCTTGCCCATCCGGCACTGTTCTAAATTGAAGCTACATTTTGTAAGTCATGCTTTTTTCATCCATTTTGATCATGTTTAACTTACATTTCTACATCTACAGGTGGGTTCTCAGTAAGCACAGCATCTTTAAGGTAAAACTAGTTTCTCGTTAGGTTTTAAGTCCAGATATTGGTTAGACCACTTAAAACATTGAGTTCTGTGCTGCTGGCAACATTCCCCTGCACGACATTTTGGAATAAAGACTAACTTTTGCAATATGCCGGATCATCTTAATCTTGAGAAAGCAAAGCATTCACAAATACTCAACATTCCCATCAGAATTGTCTTTTTTCTGAATTGGTACGCAGACTAGAGTAGAACTGATCTGAATATTCATTTTATGGTCTCACTGTAGTAAACATGACGCAACATTTAATACAATCCAAATTTTGATCTGTAAAACCCCTAAATTTCCCCTCGTCTTGCAGATATTAAAGATGTCCTTTTTTTACCGTGGTGAAATTGAGCACAGCTCTCTGTAAAAATGTAGTTCAATCACAGTTAATTTAATTTGTGATTTTTAAAGGGGGCATACTTTTTTTAACCAGAGGGCTATGTAATGCAAAAAGCCATTATATCATGTTAACCTGGACCAATATCCAGGCTGGTTAACTTTCATAAATGATGATGGAAAATACAGTTTATCTCAGCTATACTCTCCTTTCCAACTCTTACATCCCCATCTCTCACAAGACCACCACAAGACACTGCCAAAGAGACATAAATCATGTCCCCCACCGTGTTTGGGGACAACGCTGCTCCCTTATGTTTGTCTTTTCTTTTTCGGCTCCTCTCAAGTCAGCCACATGAAGAAATCCCATAAATGAAGGCCATGCAGGCCCCAGGAATTGAAACCTCTAAACCAGACTCTCTTTCTCTCAGAGTTTAGAGAAAACTTTGAGCAAGGAGGCTTTTATCTAAGAGGAAAAGAAATTAACATAGCTTCGGCAGACCAGACATGCTAAGCTTTCCTGATCTTTCTGGATGCCTCGGCCTTCCAAAAAGAACGTCAGAGGTTACAGAATGGGCAAAGTTAGGGAAAGCCTTAAAAGCTTTTGATAATATTTGAACGCAGCACAAAGACTGATATAATGTTAATGCTTATGCGATCCCTCATATGCCAATCATATTTGATTGCCAAAATGTATTTTCTAAATGAGAGCCCTTGTTTATACTAGCTACTAGCTCCATTGTTTCATAACCAAGCCTGAAAAGGCATAAGGGTAACAAACTCTGCATATTCTATTGAGAACAAACAAATAAACCTAAGAATCAATTTACAAAATGTTTCAGATTAAGATAATCATTTAAAGTTTTATTTACATTTTATTTTGAATAGATAAGTTTAAACGCTAACTTGACATCATCCTTAACTCTTTAAGATAAACTTTGGTTCTCAAACATAAAATCTGACATGATACCAATGCATAATATTATTGATTATGGTTTTTTACCATTTCTATTCATTTTTTTTGTACTAGTCTAGTTTAGTGTGATGAGTATAGTAAAGTTTTAACTGAAATACATTTAACTCAGAGTTGAATTATTTTTGTTAATAAATTATTTCATTTTGAATAGATGTTGTACATTTATTCCATATGTGTGCAGTTCTGTTTAATCGTTATTTGAGTTCATTTCATCTTTTCATTTGTTAACCCACAGGCAGCTGTCTTAGGATTCCAGTTTATGTGGGTAGTTTTGTGTTTTCTTTTGTTCTCCCCTTTCCACCACTAGATGGTGCCCTGTCCTTGTTTGGGCCTCCTCCTACACCTGCGGCACGTTGGGTCATCACCGGAGGAACATTTGAGCAGCGGGCTGTCACTACCTCGACGCCAGAGTGTTTGCCAGTATTGGGTACTCTAGCCAAACTGAGATTTGCTGAGTGTAACTATTGCCTTGTCTCTCTGAGTCCAAGCTTGCCTTGTCTTTTGTTTTCCGGTAGGAAGCCTTCCTGATCCACTCGATAAGCCTGGACCTTCTACTCCCCTTGAAAGGAATTATAAGAGTCACACCAAGCAAGGGGAAAACTCCACCAGATCCGTTGAAGTCTTCTTCAGGAAACCCCTGTGACAGTCCACTCCATTACTCCTCTGGACCCAACGGTAGTCTGCCTGTCCGCCCTCCAACAAGTTCTTTCATCTCTTGATTAAACCCCACAAACTCAATCCGAGGGAAAACCAAGAACCCCCCAAACGTGAGTCCCATACCTGCAAATCACAGGTCTAAGTCATGATTCCTACGGGCCCTGAACTCATCATTGTGATCTCCCCTTCCTAGTTTCCGGTTCCGGTTCACCAGTCCGCTGAGTTTACCCTGCAGAATACCTCTCTCTCTGTTCTTTGTAAATCTGCCAATAAACATGTTAACTTTTACCCTTGGTTCTCTGAGTGTTTTGCTGCATGTGGGTGAGATCCTTAAAACCCTTCATGACAAGCTGGACATGTGTTTACAAGAAAATATAACAGTCCTAAATTATGGATTAAATAACATGTAACATATATGCCACCTCCACCGGGGACGTGTTAAACAGAAAGTTATCACATAACATGCAACTGCAAGGGGGACATAATGCAGATGTTCGGTACTGTACATCTTTAGCTTGTGGTGCACAGCTACAAACATAATCTTAACTTTTTACACACTGGACAGGACATGTCCATGTATACCAGGCCAGAATGGAGACACACAACCATGTGCAAACACGCTTTCTCTAAGGGCAATTTAGAGACACCAATTCCCCTAAAAGTAATTCTTTAAGACTTTGAGAGGAAACCAAAGCTTCCTGGGAGAAATGGAGCTTGAGTTGTGAGAACATGCAACCACCCTAAGCCTGAAATTGAAACCATGGCCTTACCTTACCTTACCTTACCATTATACTGTAAGGCCCATAAGAACCATATACAGTGCCACTGTGCTGTTCTACTTTGTAAAATATGTTTTTTTTTTTAGCCTCTATCAGTACTCTATCATTACCGTTGTAGTTCAAAGCTCCCAATAAATCTCTACCACCCGTCTATGAAGGTGTAAAACCAGAGAAATAATCCGATCTGGCTCTGGGTACTTTGCTCTGCAGGTACAGGTCAGAGTGAACTTAGCTGTATATGCTTGAGTTTAAGAAAAAATACCTGAGAGCAACATGGGGTCTTTGTCGACAGCCTTCTTGACATGATCAGACTCTCCAGTCAGAGAGCTTTCATCAATCTTGAGATCGTTGCCCTGAATTAAGATCCCGTCGGCTGGAAGAAGGTCACCTGCAACAGAAGCAAAGAAGTAATATTTGCACACTCGTATTAGGGCATTAGGTGACATCATCATTATCTCATCAATCTGTAGTAAGCAAGGGGGTTACATAAAAAAATTACAGTCATTTTTATTCAAAGAAAAAAAGGTTTTTTAAGATGGTAATATTTCCAGTTTAGTTTTTTGCAAACTGCTTCTGTCACGATTGGTTGTGCTGGATCAAAATGGGAGCCACGTGATAGGTCTTTAAAGATTTTAATGAAGTCTTTCAGGCAGAAAAGAACTGAGGATGAGATTAATTCTGGCAAACGGAGACCTTAAGTACAGGGCAAAGCAGATGCAAATGGAAGAACAAAAAAGGAAACACAGGAGCAGAGAAGTGACTTGTTAACAGAAGTCTCTTACCAAGGGAAAAATGTTAAATTAGTGATAAACAATGGAAGGTACTGAAATACAATCTAGTATAATAATAATAGAATAGAATAATAGAATAAATCCAATTATCCAGAATTAATAACAAAAGAAAGTAAAGACAAACCAAATAAAAACAATAAGAAAAAAGCAAGAGCAATAGACTTGAAAACTCCTTGTCTAAAAAAGTAAACACTCTGAGCCAAAATGGCAAACCCCAAACAGCACAAGTAACAGGATATGGCAATACCCCAATAGCAAACCAAAAAGACGCTTTGGGCAAAAACTCAAAATTGTTGAAATTATTAAATAAAAACTTAAAAAGCAAAAACCTAAAACAGAAAAAGAAATAAACCAAAAAGTATTATTTACTTCATGTTCAAAATAAAAAAAGATGACACTAACATAAGTCATTAACAAAAGTCAAAAGAACTCCAAACCATTTTTCTCTGCCATATGCAAACTCATGCATTGCTCACCGTATTTGACCTGAGCGATGTCTCCGACCACGATCTCAGACACTTTGATGGGGCACACTTGCCCCGCCCGGATTATGGTGAACTTCTGCTCCTGTTCGATACGACTCTGCAGGCCACGGAACTGCTTCTCTTTGCTCCAGTCATTAAAGGCCGTAACTAGCACCACACACACCACAGAGAGGAGAATGGCAGCGCCTTCGATCCATCCAGTCTCCGCATCTCCCTCTTCTTCTATGCCGCCAGCTGCTTTTCCACAGTCTGAACAGAAATAAAATAAAAATGTGGCATTTTTGACACTCAATGCTGTGTCAAACCTTGCCTGAGTTTTCTAAGCTATGGAGAAAAAAAAGCTTTAAAGCAGCTGTGGCACTGTCTCCTCCCGTCCCATGTAATCTGGTATTACTACTTTATATGAAATTGTTTCAATTTAAACTGAGAATAAATGAAATTTAAAAAAGATAATTTCTCAGCTTTATTTGGTCTGGCTGTCTTGTTCAACAATAAACAATTATTAATTTATATTCAGCTCATAGTTCTGTTCAAAAGTACATTTTTAAATTATCCTATAAATATGTATCAAATACACTTTTATTAAACATTATTTTCTGTTGTTCTGGTGTAATATTCTTATCCTAAATGTAAATTTTTAATGTTGTAAGAGGAAAATATGTGTGATAACAGAGGTACAGACCTGTCAGTTCTTGAGTAATAATCCATATAATGTGTTTCACTAAGTAAACTAAACTTGGGTATTTCAGGCTAACAAAGACCACAGCGACTACCTATTACTAAGGGATGGACCAGTTCTTCCGGTTTAATTTGCATTTTTTCTAAGCCAAAACTAGGCTTTGTTGGGCTACTCTATAATGCTTCAAACTCAATGCTAATTTCAGACATTTTAAATTGAAAAAGCTTCCTGGATGGGAAGCGAAACATCTTCAAACTTGGAAAATAAAATCCAGTGTTTTTTTTGTTTTGTTTTTACCTTTTTTGAAAGACAAAGTAAACTAAGTTAACTTCTCTGAAATACTCTAATTTATTTGATATGATTGTAGGGTTCCAAAACTTCCTCCCTGATGTTTAAATAAATTAAAATAAATTTTTGAAGGTTTATATGCAATTACAATAAATGGCCATAGTTAATCTATGAAATGCATCCCTGGTTAAAACAAATGCAGCTAAAATTTTGATTGCTATTTACAAATAATAGGAAGTTTCATTAGATTTGTCATTCAGCTCAGTTTTACAAAGTTCTCTCTTACTTTGGTACATTTCCTACTGTAGATCATTCAACATTTCGAAAGCAGTAAATGCTTTTCTCAAAACCAGTCGCACAAAAAGCAAAAACCATGGATGACTTGCAAAAGCCCATCTTTTTCAAAAATCCTCAGTTGGTCTCTTGAAAATAAATATGCAAGAATCACAATTCTAGTCACAAAAGTATAACAGTATACTTTGGTAGGATGTTCTTAGGTCAATTATAGCTAAAGTTTTTATGATAGTTACTATTAAGGGGAAGTTAGATCTGAGTGTAAGTACAGGAAAAGAGTCTCGTTTTTATTTGTACTGTTTCTTTTTTTGGAGAGTCTGTGTGTGGAGTGTCAGGTAGGTGCACTAGGATGGGAAGGTGTGATTAAACTGTGTATGTCTTCTTTTTCTCTCTTCTGTTTGCTTGTCAGGTTGGGGTCTGAACTGCTCCCTCTCCCAAGAACATCTTAAGTCTCGGCTAAGTGTGGAGCCCCTTCCCCCTGTCCTGCCCCCCTGGGTATTTTGGGGGTGGGTGCCTGGACGTGTACTGGCTCATTCTTGGGGGCTGCTTCGTGGGGCCTGGCCCCCCGGGGATTGGTCGGGGCTCCTGCCAGGCCTCGGGTCCCTGGGGTCCATTGCCAGTTCCACTTCAGGGTGGCTGGCTGCCGGTGGAGCCCGCAGGCTCGTCCCCACGGCTCCTGAGGGCTTCTGCATTGCGGCAGCTGGGTCATTTCCTCAGAGCCGTCTCTCTTCCTCCCTTGGTGGCGGGGTAGCTTTCCTGTGTGGGGCCCTCCTGGACTCCTTTGCCCTGGGGGTCCCTTTGGGCATCTGGGGTTTTGGGTCCCCTGGTGTTTGCCTCGGTCCTCCGAGCATTTTTCCTTTGGATACACTTTACATGCACAAGTGCACCCTCATTTATTATTATCCTCATTTAGTATTTTAATCAACATGGCATAAGCAGTTGATAATGTAAGACAAAGCAGAGAGTTATACACAATCATGAGTATGGATGTGCTAGTAATTTCTAACTTATCTAAAGGAATAGGAAACTGTTTTGTAGATGTGCACAAGTAGCATAATGATGTAGGAAGTGAAAAGCGAAAAAGTAGTCTGAGGAATGGGGGATGAATAGATTTATATTTCAGACATAAACTGTTTTTAATAAGTAAACAAGTATTCTGGATGAGTATTTGTCTAAGGTCAGCTGCTGTTTGGTGGTCTTTTAAAAAAGGAGCTCACTTCCTTCTTCCTTTTCATCTTTTTGCTAACCATTAACTGCACAAAATAATCTTTTTTTATAAAAATAAAATCCAGTTAAAAGATTTGAATCATTGGTCCTGATGAACAGCACTGCAAAAACGATATAGAAATAAGTGAAAATGTCTTAAATTAAATGCATTTACCCTTAATTTGAGTAGGAAAATAAGATGATTTTTCAATGGAATGAAGATTTGTACTCTAAAAAAAAATAATTAGATTATATGCACTTGAAATAAGAAGATGCAATTGGTTTTTCGTATTTCAAATTTAAATTGCCTTGTTCCATAGGCAAAGTGTTTAACTTACCTATTCAATTCCAGAAAAAATGCACTTATTTTCAGAAAGATTTACTTATCTAGTTTTACAGTTTTTGCAGTGAGTAGGTGTAGGAGCATAACCTGACAACCTGACAACAGTCTAGCTAGGCGGAGCTAGACATGCATCTGGCTGTTGTCAGGTTAGTAGGAGCATTCATGGCAGGCAATATATTTATTGAGATCAGTAACTGCAATAAAAAAAAAGACGGAACATCTGGTAACTAAACATGTTTACTGTTAAAGTGACTTTGCTGCCCCATAGCTACACTGATATTCACCCTCATGTCTTCTGAACAGACAAAATACTCACTCTGTCTTTCTGCATCAGGTGGACTGTAGAAAGAAAGGCTGAGGGAAATGACTGCAGCCACCTCCAAGATGATAAGAGTGACATCCTGCAGGGCCTCCCATACTAACTGCAAAAAGGTTTTAGACTTCTTGGGAGGAATGACGTTCTGGCCAAACTCCTGTTTCCTTTTGCTGATGTCCTCTGGTTTTCCTTCAAGACCTGCAGTGGTATAAAACACAATATGCTAAAACGTGGTCCACGCATTAATATCATCCTCATCGTAAGCTAGATTCGTCTTTTAATCTCCTAGTTAATGTGAAAAATTGGGTTTTTCCATTGATTTCCGAATACATGACATTTTCTTTCATTAGAAAATCAGGAATAATCTTTAGCATTGGAAAAAATTATGCATTCTGCCCAGATTTTGCCACAACAAAGACACTAAAAGTCAGGCTTGGTTGGTCCATTTAATGTAGTCAACATAAGGTCAATAGAACAGAGATAAAATCTGAATAAAATTTACCTTTGATTATGTAAATTAAAGTTAGGCTTGTGTAGAAAAGAAAAGAAGAACAATATTACAATTTGGTTTTGGTTAGTTCGATGTGGTTATAATTAAACGCAAAAAAGGCATACAGTAACAGAGGATTCTGTTAAACTGTGATTTGGCATAAATCTGTTATTGATACACTAATATCCCTCCATTTAAACCAGATCGTACTCGCTGGAAGTAACATTTAGCATGCATGATGTTTGCCCTTCAACAATAGTCCAGTGTGCGTGAGCAAAGAGCAGACTTGTTTACCCCCAGTGGAACAAAGCAACATGTTAAGACAAACTCAAGTCCCTCTAGAGACGCTGCTGTTTGGCTGCTCTGACACATCTAGAATGGGCGGCTTTCCAGCCAAACATTTCTCCTTGTTTTTTTCTTTGCACTCCCTGGAACTTCAGGCAAGAGGGACAATACTGAAAGTTATGTGTCTGTCCCCAGCTGTCCCTGCTAGAACATGCAGAGAAGTAAAGCAGCAGCGTGGATATTCCTGTGGTTTCATGCTGCTGCTGACATTTGCTGTTTTCTGTCAGCAGGAGTTTAATCGTTAGCAGTGTTTACTGATCGAGTGAAAGATGGACAAACTTTATGAATTAATAAAGAGGTGAAAATGTCATTATACAAAGTCTACTAAACAGATTTAAAAAAAATTCTCAGGGTCTGTAGGAGACACAGTCAGAGCAATATGAGTCCAGCTGTGATTCAATCAAATGAATTAAATTTACATAGACGAAGAAAAAAATCAGTGGGTTCATACTGGAAATTGATCCCTGAATGTACTTTTAAGATCATCAGATTGGAGCAGGGGACTTGATGCAAATCATCTGGTTCACCACAGCAGACAGAACCACCAGCAGCTTCTAGGAAACATTGTCTACCATGGATCACTGCTGATCACAGCTGGTTAGGAGAAGGGCACAATCTGCGGTTCTGAGGAGAGGAAGGCCTAGCAGAGACGTTACTTCCTACAGGATTTCAAGAAGTTTAACATCCCAGAGGAGCTGCTAGCGCTCTGCACTGTCTACTTAAAAAAGAACAAACACAAACAAACAAAAGAAAGAAATGTCCAAACTGCAATGAACAAATGGGTGGGAGGAGAGCATCAGTGTGGCTGACCTTCGACCCAACCACATCTTTTCTATGTCTGTAATCAGGAAAAGCACAGGTAACAACTCTGCAGACCCCACACATCCTGGACACATTCTGTCTGAACTTTTACCTCCAGGTCAGCTCTTTAGAGACAATCCATTTGTCAAGATGAACAACACCTAACAGCAGGAGTGTTCAGCTTCCCTGCTGTGATATAAATTAGCTGGATTGTATCAGGTTTTACGTTATGTATAAACTGACATAGTTTTATCTTCACCTGGCTTCAGTTCTGTTGGTTCAGCCTCACATGGGACAACCTCTCCAAAGAACAACACTAATCATGTCCAATGCATGTAAGTTGGCATCACTGCTGTCAGATACCAACCATAAATTACAGTAATGTACTTATGATTATGAAACAGCAAGTGTGGGTCTAAGTGATGACTTTATCTTTATTTTAAAAGTCTTGAAGGGGTCATAGAATGCAAAACCGAGTTTACATTGTCATAGATGAATAACTATAGTTCAGTGTGTGAAATGGACGTACAGAGAACTTCAAACCCCATCAACACCTCCTGGGGTGTATGAAGTGTTGACTGCTGGGCCGCTGACTGGACCGGACCTCAGCAGAGAGCCATGAGCCACCCCTCCTCAGCTGGAGGAGGGAGGCTGGGGGCTGATAACAGACATCCCAAGTCTCCTTGAAGTTCCAGGATTCTCCTTGATATAGATAGTTGTTCACGGATGCCCGCGAGTCGAATAAATTATCCCGGATTTCAGACAATGTGAGGTGGTGGTTTTTTAATGCGAGTGAGAGCATGCAGGCAATACAATAAATAGTGAACCATGTGGGATTAGAACTACTTGGATTGCAGAGACAACAAGGTGTTGCACTTTAGTCGACCAAAATAGATTTTTTTCCCCCGGCGATTTTGAAATTCTCCCGGACATTTTTTTAGTTATGAAAAGTAGGACATGTCCAGGAAAAGGAGGATGTCTGGTCACCCGATCATATCAACAATTTTGATGTTTCAGTGAGTGAGTGCTTGCTGCTATGATGCGTCTTTGCTCAGCACATTCGCTTGTTGTAAACCAACCAATCAGAGCACAGCTCATCTAGAAATTCTTGAGCATACCATAAAAGGAAGAAAACCTATCATTTCATTCCATGGCTTTTAACCAGGCTTGCATTAGGGCTCATAGAACAGTAAATATGCCATTTTTAGCCGAAACCAATGTTACACACGCTAGTCAGAGACCCTAAGGACCAGCACCAAATACCCTATAGAATCATTCTATGACCCCTTTAAGCCTCCCAGAAAATGAGAACATCATCGTTGTTTGATACTGTAGTGCATGTATTACATTCGGACTGGTCAAACTAGGGAGTACCAATATGGCAGCTGGTGACTTCACAGCACCGTATTCTACCAATGGCCTACCAGCAATCCAGTGAATAAATGGAGATCAGTGGTTGACATCAGCAGATCAGCATGGCCAATACAAGCTGAAAAGCCAGAACTTCCTCACTAACCAACTTTGAAAGGATAAGCTCCGTTGGATAAAGGTCAATATTTTTTCCATCTACAAAAACGAATCCCAGCTGTCTTTATGTCTTTAGATTTTTTGACATTGTGGGTTAAAATCAACAAAAACTGGGACACAATCATGCAGTGAAATGAAATTTATGTGATGTTTAAAACTTTTTGACAAATAAAAATTGAAAAATTGGGTATGCTAAATGTTTCCGCCCCCAGTTATTACTTTTTAGCACCACCTTTTGCTACAATTCACTAGGGGTATGTCTCTCTCAGTTTTGCACATCGAGTGACTGAAATTTTGGCCCATTCTTTCTCAACAAAACCAACATATTCTCACTCCCAGCTCGTCACATATTGACGCTTGGTCAAAGTCCCCTATGCGTCACATAGTCATGCTAAGGGGGTACCCCTCGCATCAGTATTTGATGCACAGGGTAAATGACAGGTTGTGGACAGTGAGTCACGTGACCAACAAAAGAAAAACTGAAGTTTAGCCTACAAAGTTAGTGTGATAGCTTTAGAAGTGTATGGTAACATGTATACTACTGTTCCTCTAGGTTTAGGGGTTAGGATTAGGGTAAGGGCTGGGTTAGTGCTATTTCATTACTTCACAGATCATGGAGATTTTTTTGGAAGTTCCTAATACAGACTGTCATGAATCCTGCACGCCAGATACTGACAACAGGGGTATCCCGGTCATGCCAGTATCTAATGAGCAGGGGACATGACCAAGAGTCAATTTGTGATGAGTTGGAAGTGACAATAAGTTGACAAAACCACTCAAGCTCAGTGAGTCTGGATGGAGAGCATTTGTTACCAGCAGTTCTTTCCATAGATTGTTGATTTCTAGACTTAGACTCGACCATGCTAAGACCTTTAAGAAATGGCTTTCTTCCATAAAGGCAAGATTTGTGCATGGATGAGATGAGTGATAATCAGAGACCGGGCAGAGTTAGGAAGATAAGTGAAATTAACTATCAGCTATCAGGGAAGATCGTGACAAGCACGTGCATTTATACGCCGACTCGATTACACACAAGTTGATTCTATTTATCATCAACAGCAAATTATAGGTTTGAAATAATAAAAAACAAATAAAAAACAAACGTTCAGCTTATTTTTAAGTGTGATTGGGAGTCTGTGATTATTTTTGCCTGGTTCTCTTAAAAATACCAGGAGATTTTAAATCAAAATCTGGCTGAAGTGGATTGTCATTGGGTCTTTGATGATATCAAATGGTAAATCAACCCAAATAACACTTACATAAACCTTTCTCTCCTATCATCCTAGATCCCAGTCCCAAATCCAAAGAAAATGAAAACATGAGGTGGTGGTGCTAAAGAGAGGGAAGCATATTTAAACTATACAGACTTTTGAAAGAGGAAGGGTCAAAGACTCATTGTTGGGATCTGGAGGTCTGTCCACCTTTCTCCAGCAGAGGGCGTTCTAGGTCTCCTGGAGCTGAAGCTGACCACCACACCTGCGGCTCATGAGCTCATCAGGAGACCGGCATTTAAGGAGAGGCAGAGCAACGCTCTGACGCCAGAGTGTTTTGCCAGTTATGGTTAGCAAGCCTGAGCCAACCTGCCTGTCTGAATCTCTGACTCCCCTGAAGCCTGAATCTGAACCTAATCTGCTTTTTGTCCTCACTGCTTCTCAGGAAGATCCTGCCTGGAAACTTGCAACCTAGAAGAGTTTCTTAAGCGTGAAACCAAGCAGTCTGTTCTCAGAAGAACCCTGGAAATTCGAATCAGTCTGATACCTGCCTGCCCGCTCTCAGAAAGAGCTGAGAGAGAAGCTCCGAACCTGCTCTGTAAGATTAACAATTCAGCCCTGCCTCTGCCTAGCCCTCTGCCTGCCTTCAGCCTCTGGACCCTCCCGGTTCCCCCCTTCTACCGCTCTGCTCATTCTCTGATCAGGTATAGACCTGCAAACACACAATCTGCAAGTTCACTGGAAGACTGCTAACCAATCTGTCCCTCTCTGCAGTGAAACCATTCGTGACCAGACCCGGACACGATTAATCCCAGAATCATTGTGCATTTATTGTGAACTGTACAAATAAACATTGTGAACTTTTTCCCAGCCTCTGAGTGTTCTGTATGTGTGTTAGATCCCTGAAGACAAACATGACACTCATTCCTCTGTACCCCCCAACCTGGTGAAAAAAGGTTTAGTTAACTTTTTACTGTGTATTTTTTTCCTCTTTTGGCAAATTACTGTAAAAGTTTAATGCTAATTTTTGCAGCTCCACTTAAATGTTGATTAATCTTAACTTGTTTTACCATCAAATGAATTTTGTGGCATTGTTGTTGCAAGAATTTTTTTTTTGTAAATGGAAATACAAACAAAAAGTGCAATCCAAAAATAAAGTATAAAACAGTTCTTGATGAATAAAGGTTAAAAGCTTTTAATTCATGTTTCATGTTTAATTCATTCTTCAAATTGTTTTTTCACAGTTCACATTCTCCTTCCGGGGGCAGGGTTTCCTCTGGACTGAAGATAAAGGACACATTTTTATTGATCTGCAGGACGTTAGCAACATCCATTTTATAGTTAAGAGCCAGTCTATGCATTGGGCTCTGATTGAAAAGAATTTATTTGTAAATACATATGTTCAAATGAATGTAATTCCTAAAGGTCAAACTAAAAGAATACAAATTTGAAAAATCTGGAAAATAAAGTTTGAAAAATATTTGAAATAATAAAATATACAAAAAATTTGAAAAAGTAAAATAAAAAACATTGCTTTTGAGAAAAACACCAAAGTTACTCTCAAAACCTTGGTTTGATTTAAGACCATTTCAATATTTAATTTCCGGATGGCATATTTTACCACACATATAGCACTGCTGCCTTGCAGCAAAAAGGTTCTGGGTTTGATTCCTGGCTCAGGGTCTTTTTACATGGGGTTTGCATGTTCTCCCTGAGCATGCGTGAGTTCTCTCCGGGTACTCCTGTGTAGCTACCAGATCTGCTTGGGGGGGGATCAGATCTGCTCGGGGCCCTCCACTCGAACAAACTATTGCACCTGTTTCTTATATTCTATATTGGCTATTATTTTGAATTTCATTAGTGATCTAAAGTAGCCGACAGTAGAAAAAACTCATTGTCAGTCATGAAGGAAACTACTGCTTTCTAAGACTGCGCTCGGCTATTTACCGAGAGCAGGGGAGGACAAATGGGACATCTAAAAAATACTTTCATAGAGATTTTAGACAAAAACAGTTATTCTACTCTAGGAAACGAACGGTTGTTGTTGACACAAATTTAAAGTAGTGTAGCTTAATATGGCTAAGTGACCAAGACATGATAGCAATGCAAATGCTCCTGACTTGGCAAACGGACGCTGTGTGATGTTATTATCGTTGTCAGGACAACCACAATATTTTACATCATGTGAGAACGTTAAACCAATCCTGTAGCGTAACGTCACTGGCATGCACAGGGACCCGAGCAGATCTGACCACCGGAGCAGATGTGGTACCTACACCGGCTTCCTCCCACAGTCCAAAAAGATGACTGTTAGGTTAATACCGTAATTACCGATTTGCAGTGTACATCTAATCACTGGGATTTCAAGCTAATAAAAAGGAGTGACATTGAATAAGAAAAATATTGTGATTAGGGTTTTTTTTGGAGAAGGGTGACAAGATAGACCACCATTTTAATCTTTCTTTTAAAAACTGCAGTTACCACCATGTGTTCTGTGACTCTGTAACACACTGAAAAGGCAGTCGAGTACTATAAAATTGAAAAGGGGTTATTTTACATTTGCAAAACTCTCCTTTCATAAGTATTTGGTTAAGTAGTTGCCTAAAGGTAACAAAGTGACTGCACTCAATCAGCATCACTATTAAAACCAGTAGACTAAGGCTGCCTTCTGATGTTTCAGTCCATTTAATTCTGGAGCAAAACCTTGTTCCCAACTACAGCAGACTAATATTCTGTAAGCATGGTGTACTTAAAAAAAAAAACTGGAGCCGGAGCTTAGGAACACTAGGAAAAAATTCCCCCCCCCCCAATTAAGGTTGAATTTGTTCAGACCAGGATCAACACTGGCTGCAGGTTACAGTTGACTTTGGCCATCACATGCTTAACAGTCCCCTAAGCCAAACTAAAGAACAGACTTAACCTAACATGGCCTCTGTTGGTTTAATGGAGTTCATGCCGGGGGGGGTGGGGTGAGTCACATGAACAGTGGTCCAAAACAAAGTCACACAGAGTCATCAGCACCGTTTCATCCAAAAGGAACGAGTTTAACGCAAATAAAATCCCAGTATCAAGAACATTAAAAAATATTGTAAGAAAGGTCACCAGAATACACAGAAGCAATCATTTATGCCGCTTTGAATAGTTCCCGCTTTCAGTTCCCTCTAGAGGCTTACCTCAAAATGTGCAAAAACAGAATTTATTTATTTTGAAGCCATTTTTCGTGTTATGTGTGCATAAAATAATCCCCAAGGCTCTCTATGGTACCAACAAGCCCAATTTTCAATGGTAATTTATTCCATTTCTATTTCTTTTTCTCATTCTTAGTCCAACTATTAAGAACCGACAGATATGTCAGATGAGCTCTATCCTTTAGTTCCTATTCTCTTCTGAAAAGACACTTAAATTAGATGAATCCGGGTGGATCTGACCTTAAAGGGACATTTTCAAATATTATGAATTCACAAATATCTACGCCAGTAGCTCACTCTGGTTGCATACACAGGTTTTCTGAATAAATGATAGTACCTTGCTGGCTTATTAAATATCCTATTTTGTCTTACTTTGTTTTGTTCCATTTGTTGTTAAACTTCATCATTTTCAGATTTTACCTTAAAAAGACCACATAACTATATGTAAAGTTTTGCACATGCATGCAGCAGGTCAGCATTTTCTCAGCAGAGGTTTGAAATGGAAGAGGGAAAAGTCTAAGACCCAGTGGGAATCGTTTGGAAAATAATGCATGTAGGATAATAAGTAGGACGTGGAACACAATACAGATGTAGATATTTATTAAAGCAGGAGCTAAAGCTGCTAAAGCTGCTGAAGCTGTGTTATTACTGCCAGAAGAGGGTGACAGTGTACAACAATGTTTGTATCTGTTGATAGCAACCGGTGCAAAAACTATTTCCCGGCTCAAAAATAACTTGGTAAACATTATCAGGAGAAAGGTCTAGAGTATCACCTTTCTTGAACATATGGTTTTTTTTTTTTTTTTTAAGTCATCGTAGACCCAGAAAGAGAAGGCAAGTTTCTGAGTCCCTTATCAAAATAAAATATTTGTCTACTTAAATCTTCCTGCAGACCATATTATGTTTGGTCAGCTTCCTGATAGACCTGCAGTCATTCTCAATATAAATAGATTTGGACTGAGTTTTGACTATGGGTTTTGTCACCTTAAAAAACCCCCCAAACATTTCAGTCAGAGGAACTTTCAGCCTAAATGTCTCTGAGGTCCCTATGGTTTTGTGTTGCAGTTAAGTTGCTTTAGATTTCCACCCAGCAAATGGCTCTGGTTGATATAAGGATGAAGCTGTCGGGTCAGGATGCTTAAAAAGAAAAATTATTGTTACTGGATGAAAATAGCTTGTGAGAAAAAAAAATAAAGAAAGAAATACATAATTACCTTCAACTGGTGACGACCGGAGTCTCGTGCACAGTCCGTTAACACCTCCATAGCAATCCTGTATCCTCGTCACCGCATCAGGTCCTCGAAGCTCCATAAGTAAGCGAAGCTCCTGCAGGGAGCAGCTGAACTCTGGCTCATGGTTGGCCTCAGCACTGCGTCGCCGTTTGGACCCACGAAGAGAGTTTCTAGCCATGTCTTCTTGGTCTGGAGCTTGGTGGGCGCTCTATCAAAAAACGCAGACTCAGTGATAAGACTGAGGTGTAGATCCAGCCTGACAAGGTCTCTTTGACTGTAAATTAAAAAGAAAAACAGAGATTAGAGTGATCAGAAAAATTGAACTTTTGTTTTGGTAACTTTTGTTACCATGAGGAAGATTATTCCTTATGTTCCCAAGAGAGTATTTAGTCATCAGGTGCAGGTTTACATGCATTTTCTGGATTTTCAGCGTCCCAGTTATCAAGTTCCAGCTTGGACCAAGAAGAAGCGTTATGTAAGCATTAGTATTGACTGCCTGAGAATCAGCTGCATTCAGCGTCTTTTCACAGACCTCTTCTGCTACTGATATTAATGGAAAACACTATTGTTTCTAGGGTTGGGCTTCTTAGTTCTTCTAAAAGTCCGAAACAAAACACACAGAAGTTCTGATCTAGGTATAATTTCTATGTTGGAGAAGTTAAAGGTTAAGTAATTCCATAGTGGCTTTGTCTAAGAAAGAGACAGTTAAGCAAGTGAGCTCTGAGACGGCTTTCTCATCAAAACGATGAAAGACGACACATCAGTAAATTGCATTAAAAGCTAAGGAACAGGCACACTTGTATCATCTATAACATGAAGATTTGCACTGCAGCAGCCCAGCTGATCCCTCCTTTCAGGATGGTGTGACAGCTACACAGAGCATTAGTTCAGGTGTAGTTACCATGACAAGAAAAGGCAAAGAGAACACCAAGTTTAAAGTTGAGCCAACATTTATCCATCATTTTCTACCACTGTTCTGTCAGGATCAGGGGGTTTGGCGCCTATCTCCAACAGCCTATGACTCCATCTAGAAAGACCCTAAGGCCTAGGCTGAGCATCAATCTTAGGACCTTCTTCCTGCAAGGCAAAAGTGCTACAACCTTGCCCAACATGCTGCTGTTTAACAAACAAATAATTCATCAGAATTCTTCATTATAAAATAATTTGTTTACAGCTCCTATGGTTATCCAAGGATAATCTTTGATAAGTAAAATCATATAAACTCATAATAGATAGGTTGTACTCGTACAGAGCATTATCAAGTCTCTGTGACCAAAGCTGCTCTGGGGCACACTGACAGAAGTGAGGCTACCACACAACGGACACCACTCTGTTAACAAACAGCAGGCAAGGAGGGTCTTTCCAAAGGACAAAACAAGTGAGGTGGACTGAGCGAGGCCTTGAACCGGTCACCTATCGGTTGGAACTGCTAAAAAGAAAACATAACATAGTGTATCATGAAATTACATATAAACATTACTGTATGTCACTTATACAATTGCCTTTACATACATTCATTAAACTTAATACAAGCAAAAAAATGATTTTATACATTTTAATAATAATAGAAAAAAAAGACTATTTAAATCTGCTTAAAATCCATCAGGTGACTGGAGGTTCATGCGAGGGTATTTCAGCGTAATGGGCCGTAAGGCTGAAATAAAATGCTGAAAATCAGATGGATGTACCAATTAGCTTTTGATAAAAGCTCATAAAAACAATCATGGTGAGAATTTTGTATCAGGGTTACATTGATTTAATGATATTCTATTCCACAGACTGTGCACTTTTTGTCTCAAATAAATGTTTTTAAGTTTCTAATTCATCCTTTTTTTGTGTCAGGTTAAAATCTGTTTATTGTAAAGCCTTGTTACAGAGTGCTTTCAATAGAGTTCGAAGGAACATTGCTCCAAACAGTGACAGTGTTAGCTCAGGGGTGTTTAAGTTTTGTCCCTTGAGAAAGCTGAGAGACTTAAGAGAATAATAATTCCATTTTATAAACTGTATGATACAGGATGACGACTTCTCTGAGTGTTGAGTCTGTGCTAATTAGGGCCCTGGAAAGAAATCTGAGAGGCTTCTCAACAGCAATTCAAGAATGATACAAATTTTACCAAAATCCCAGCTTCCTTAGACAAATTGAGATATTTCCTTTTAAATTAGGAAAAATTACAACAATGCTTTTGTGACATACAAATTTAAGAGCAACACAAAATATTTCTTCCAGGGACATTGATGTGAATCTAAACAAACTTTTAGCCACTTTTCATTTCTCTGTCTCAACCCTATCTCTGATTCTATTCTGATAATCCATTTAGGTTGGGATTAGAAGGAAAAAAGAAGTCAAAACTGTTTCTGGTCCAACCAATATTACCCATGACCGTGATCCTTGTAAGTGCAAACCTACTTGGCAATAAACTTGATTCTGATTTATTGTCTAGGGGTCACTGCTATAAGAGTACCAAATTCAGTGACTGAATGAAATAATCTGTTTTAGTTAGATGGAAACTTTTAACAAACCTGACTGGATGATTTGATGGAATTATCTCTTTAAAGTTTCTTGAGATTACATTACATAAATCATCTATAAAGGCTTCAAAGGTTTGGAAGAGAATATTGGTGAACTTGCTGTTTCCTTAGCACTACAAACCTTTCCTATAAAAGTATGGCTTTTGAAAGAAGCTCGAAAAAGCTCCATTCAGGGTTTGTCACAAGACATACTGGGACAAATAAAGTTTAAGTAAGAAATTTAAAAAACAAACTTTTGGATGGATGAATGAAGATAATTACAAAATTAGTCCTGGATAAAAACTAGAATGCTAAGAGTGAGACACAATGTGATGGTTTTAATAAAGGTGTAATTATGTTTTTAAATGATAGAGTAAAATCTGTACCTAAATCATATGGAAGATATGTGGCAGGACTTGAAAACTGCCTGATCTAATTTCTGTTGAGAAAAAATACAAAAAAACATCTTGTCTTGAAACAAATCTGTAAGTAAGAAACGTTGCATATACATTTAGCTTCCTTATCTGAAGCAGCCCAGATAACAGCGTTGGAAGAGACTCACTATGAAATTGATACATGTCATAATTTTAATGGAAGTATGTTTTTATACTGGAAGTATGTTTTTATATATAAACAAAATTTTTGATGGCTCAATAAATATATTATTAAACTGGACAATCCTTAAGGTGTTTTGAAAAATATTGCCTAATTATTATTAATAACTTTTTCAGCTTCGTCGATGTAAACTAAGAGTCAGCTATACAGGTACAGACAATACAAATCCAAATCATGACTTTAGTGAGACTGTTTTTTTTTTTTTGTAAGGTACTATCATTATGTCTTCAGCTTATAGCCATTAAGAATGAGGACACAATGAGGAATTAGTAATTACCAATTTTAACACAAATATTACTTAATCATTCATTTCTTTAGGAGATTTGTTCTTAGTAACTGGAGCCAGAAATCCAAAGTAATGCTTAAATTTCCTATATCACATTTTTTTCCCGAGTATTAAATGCAGAAAAAAAACCTATCCTGGCAAGCAGGTTTGTTAATTTCTTAAATGGGGACTGTACTGCCATGTTTATTTTGGTTCAGCCATGGGTTCTGCATTCCTTGTTATCATCGTTGATATATGTTTCCGCCTTAAAAGGATCAATGACTAGTTTAACCTAAAATTGGCATTTCTGATACATAAAAGCCCATAAACACTTTGTGATATTTTTTGGTGCCATTATTTCACCTGCCTGCTGGGTTGATAACCCGGTTAGGTCTTACAGGACTGGAACCCTCAATAAAAACACAGTGAGGCTAACATTACCAGAGTTGTTTTTTATGGTATTCCATCTGACTGGTGTAAATTTAGACGCCACACTGTGTCCCTCCCTCAAAGTTTTCATGAGTCATACTATACTAGTAAACTAGCCCCACCCGCCAGCAGCCAAAATCATTTTTGCCTGCGAGTGGTCTAACCTCGATCAATGCCCCAGGCCCAAGAACTGGTGGGCCAAACACAATGCACAGATGCGTGACGACAAAGCTGTCGTGGAGAAAGCACAACAAGGAAGATGGCAACAACTATTCAACAGTTTTCGTTTGACTCAGCTTTGGAATCAGTTTAGAAGGATTAGACTTGGGGTTTTCGTTGAAACGTGAGCAGGAAGAGGCTCTATGCTCATTGTTTTTTAAGAAGGACGTATTCGTTGTTTTACTGACAGGCTGTTTGTTTACACTCCCCCACCAGCTTTCTGTCGCCCTTACTATGTCACAGTCAGTTGCACTCATCAGTCAGAGCGTTGGCCAATAGGCACAGTCAGTGGTTTGAAAAACAACTTTAATCTCACATTTAGTCTGGTTTATCAGGCTAGAGTGATACACACAATATCTGTTGAAACAAACAAATACATTCAGTTTGCGATCTACTGGTAACTATATTAGCTAGAGCTAATATCATTGGTGGAAGGCAATAGAAATCAATAACTGTTTAAAGTGACAGCGGCTGTGTCCGAACATAGGGCACAATATAGTGATTACGCCATTTTAGATGAGTGCCCAGGTACCGTGCAGGGAGGCAGAGTCACCTGACCAACAGACAGCAAAAAGCAGTGATCATCCATCCGAACGGTCGGTTAATTGAGTTCACTATAAAGTACACTATATAGATCCCCGCTCTATATAGTGATTGAGGGATCTAGGGGATAGAGCGGATGTTCGGACACAGCTCTAGTAGATGAAAAAGTAGTGGACTCGAAATTTCCCACAATGCACCTTGAAAAGTAGTGCTCATCCATGGTCTCTAGACAAGCAGATATATCCCAGATTGCTTCATGAGAGCTCTCCTTGCAAAGAATCATGGAATTTGTTGTGACAGCAGCCAGCTGTCAGGTAATGAGAGCGGCCAAAAATAACAAAGATGGTGCTTGCACTGTCGGAGAGGAGGCATTATGTGACCAACGGGGAGCGAAAAGTAGTGATCATCTGTCCGGATAGTCGGTTAACTCAGTTTACTATAAGGTCCACTATATAGTCCCCACTCTATATAGTGATCGGGGGATTTAGGGCGGGTGTTCAGACACAGCCACTGAAAATCTTTAATTCGTTTTAAAACACAGTTTTGATCCTGATGCAAACTGTAAACAGCCTCTTTGTATCATAGCTCTCCATATAGGTTAGCATCTCCTAGCAGCAGCCACACAAAGAACAACTTGTTCAGCCATTTCTGCCCTCTTTTCATCAATTTCAATTTAAAAGGCTCAACATCCCTAACTGCTGTTTTGACTGCACAGAGCTAGCCCTAAACGACATAGTCTACTATACATCAGCTACCCAGAATGCATTGCAGTGTAAACAACATGATGAATTCTGTCTGACAATATTTTATTCACATTTATATAAACTAAACAGCTTATGGTATTTTTACTGCATTGTATTTAGGCCTACATTAAAACAAATATTTCACAAAAAAAGTCGGCTGTTACAACAAATCATGGATCCTTTTAAACCATAATACTGCAGCATGAATGGCTGACCCCTGGGGTCGGACTCAATCCATTCAAGCCGAAGTGCCTACAAGATGGATTTTCTTGGGTTTATAAACTCACAGATAATGCAAAAATGTAGTTTGCAGGTAAGGTTATTCCATACCTGCTATATCCATAAATTGCCTTTAACATTTTTATTTTATTTTAACTACTTCTTGCTGTTATATTACATACGATGCCCAATAAAGTAAATAAATACATAAACAGAAAATGAGGATTAGGTCACTTAATATTGCAACATTTGCTCCTCTAAAAAACAAACACAAATTCTAAAAGGTAACTAAGTTTGAGTTTGTAGAGGTATGACTTCTAGCCTTCTGTTTGACTGTGAGCGTCTTTATGTTTGTTTCCTACAGGTTGTGACCTCGGTGCCTTCAACTGTAAGCTGCTGTGTCAATCAGTCAGACCGGTTTAATCTGAAGGAGGGACAGGCAGCCTGTTGGAGGCTCAAGAAGAGGAGAAAACTGAGCCATAATCAAGACAAGTCACGACTGTCAAATTAGTGGATAAAACTAGTAACTACTCTCCAAGGCTTTAACAAAAATCCATTAAAATAAAAAAATAATAGTAAATGTGTCACATCAAAAAGAACCCTAATCTTCCCACAGCAAAAACTGCACTGACATAATTGGAAATCTTATTTTCTCCTGCTTATCAGTTCAGTGAAACCTTTCAAATGTGTTTTGATTGCAGCTCTGTCACTAAATAATCATATCTAATTAAAACAATTGAAAATTTTTTTGCATTAGAAGCCTTGAGAAGAAGAAAGGCTGTACTTACACAAACTTCCCCCATTGCCTCCGGTTAGCAGCAGGTATTAGTGGCAGTCCGATTACTCTGATCAGTGAGACAGCCACAGGTCCAGAACCAGTGTATAACCCAGCAGCAGCACATTAGCCATCATTCTGCAGACCAACGCTTTGCTCATCAAACTGAGGAGAAATGTGCCTGACCTTCAGCATGATGACAGGCATGAGCAGCGCTCTATTGCAGGAAAACCAAGAAAAAAGTACACAAAATAGAACAGAGCTGGCTAAATGATTATCTGAGGAAAGCCTTGCCTAATCTAATTAGACAATCTGTGGCTTCAGTGAGCTCCATAGAGACCGCTGCTGTTCCTGCAGCTCCTCCTGTTGAGAGGGGATGTGCAGGTGTCTGTGCACACATTTAAACCTGTTTTCACTCTGCATTTAAGAGAAATGCATTAACCTAAATTAATATTAGTATATCCTCTTAGCTGCTGAGTTTCCTACAGTTGGGTCAGCATGTAAAGCGGTTATAAAAAAGAAATTAAAGTATTTCAAATGCAAAGCAAGCAGATCAAGAACTGATGCTTTAAACTTTAAAAAAACCCTGTGACACGGTCAGTTCTCAGTGCTCTGCCCCCCTCATCTAGTGCCTAACTAGAGAAGCAGTCTGACGTCAGATGGCACAACACACACAGGTAGATTACAGCCCATAGTGATAGAGGAGGATTAACTGAACACAGAGGCACACAAACATATGCACAAGGATATCACTCTTTTTTTCTCTTCCAATGTTGTCAAATGTTTCCCCTCTACAGGTAGTGATGACCTCTGTACCACCCTCATGTCTGCCTTAGCATCAGACCGCTCACTATAACAGACTCAAACAGTTAACAGAGGTCTATTAAATTAACTCTGTTTAAAATGTTTTTAGGTTGGAATTCAACATGCTTGGTGTGTGATAGTTGCATGGCGTGTATATATTTGCTGTCCCCCAGTGGTGATATATCATCAGTACACTACTAAGTATAATACTGTTTACAGTTTCAGTTCATTAAGATTAGCAGAATTGACAGCTCCATTTGAACATAAATGCAAGAATTCCAGTATCAATAATTAAATAGTAAAATATAATAACTATTTATTTGGTCTTCGCCAAAAAATCTAAAGAATACTGGGAGGAGTTTTGAACTACATGTGTACAAAGAAGTGGCATTTAATAAATTATGCTGTGGGCTGTGTTTAGCTAGGAAATTAAATCCAGGAGCCAAATTTTATTTAGACACTAAATGCAGAACAGTGCAGAGAAACACGTTGTTGGTGATATGTTATTGTTATGCAATTGTTCCAGCAGATTATAAATATATTGAATAACTAGAACTGGAAGTTATAGTCAATTAATAGGTCATTCAAATCAAGGGTAAAACCTATTAATGATTGTGAGTTAAATTATTATAACAGAAATCTGCTTATTCAGCAAGGTATTTGAGTCTTCTACCCACTTTTTGATTATTTGTTTAAAATTGAGTTTCTTTCCTCAAGTTAGTAATTTAGACTATGGCTATCAGCAGAGTTATTATTCATTACCTATTACATAGACATTTGGTGTTTTGTAATTATTTTCTGGAAGGTTGCATCCTTCGTGCGTCACTAAGGCTGATTCACCACAGTAGGCTGAAGCTCCTTTCCCAACCTGGATGGTGTGCTTTCCGTTGACCCTGCAAATGGTGAAGGGATAGGAGCTAGGTATTAAAATCATGTCATACATGTTGGCAAATTTCCCCAAGAAAGCTCTGCTGGCATGAAGGATGCTGAACAAATTTTAATTTCTCACCTACAATCAGAATCAAGTTTATTGCTACTAGGTTTGCACTTATAGGGAATTTGGGTTGGTGTTGATGGTGCAGACAAATTAGATATTTGTACAGAATACAGGATCTATCTAAAGCTATGTAGAATATAAACACAAAATCTTCCCTTCATGCCTCAGAGTCCTGGAGGCGTACAGATTCTGGAGAGAACGAAGATTGCAGCCAATCAACCACAGTCCTTTGTGTTGGCACCATCATACCAGATGGTGATGGAGGAGGTGAGGAGGGACTTAATGATGGAGGAGTAGAACTGCACCATCACTGTCCTTGGCAGGTTGAACTTTTTCAGCTGCCGGTGGAGCTATTACATTTGGAATAACAGGATTATTTAGTATAAAAACAGATCTTTGTAGAACAAAACTGGGTTGATAGTGGTTATGGTTTAGTTTCACGATTTAGGAAATCTGAGGGTCAACTATTACTTTTCAAATAATTTATTTCTAAATTCAACGTTGCAGTTACACTAAAGGAATATGGTGAGGTTTTTGCTGCTATCCCAATGAATGTTTTACAGCTCCTTGTTGGATTTACAGGCGGGCTTTTAATGAAAGCTTCTGGGAACAGTATTATCATGGGATATTTAGATGGTAAAAAAAATTTCAAAAAAAATACATAAGAAATTATTTGGGAAATGCACAAATTTTCTCAATTCAGCACAATTATCAATAATCTGGAAGATTCACAGGTTTCACAGCAAAATGTATTTAGTAACCGTTTTTTACGGAAGAGGATTAGGGCCACTCAAGAAGTAAAAAAAGTCAACTGATTTTTAAATATTATTTCAGTTTGATGTTTGTTCAGTTTGATATGGAAAAAAAGTGACTTTAATCTTAGAATTCTGACTTTTTCATGGAATTCTGACTTTAATCTCAGAATTCTGACATTAATCTCAGAATTCTGACATTAATCTCAGAATTCTGACTTTAATCTCAGAATTTTGACTGTTTTCTGACAGATAACAAACATGTTAGAATCAAGCCATAGCCATGTCTGTTTTAGAGACTAGTTCTCTTGTTTTAATCACCTTCTGCTCTTCCATTAATGAAATAGCATCACGGGGACACGTTAGGCACGTAAAAAGTCGCCTAATTTTTCACCAAAGCGTCACTGACCCTCTCAAACAACTCACATCTTTGTCAGTGAAGCTGAGTGCTCCCACATCTCTTCCTTCATGGTGCCCATCTACGTTAAGATCCAAGATTCTGAGATTAAAGTCAGAATTCTGAGATTACAGTCAGAATTCTGAGATTACAGTCAGAATTCTGAGGAAAAAGTCAGAAATCTGAGATCAAAGTCAGAATTCTGAGATTACAGTCAGAATTCTGAGAGTAAAGTCAGAATTCGGACTTTTATTTCTCATATTAAACTGAAATAAATTTTAAAAATCAGTTAACTTTCTTTTTTGGCCCTAATCATCTTCCGTAGTTTTTTTTTATGACGAATAATGAATTTCTTTCTATCGGCTATACTAAACCTAATAAATTATTTCTTGTAGTGTCCCTTTTAATATTTATGTCCCTGGCAAACAGTTTTGTTCTGTAAGAACTTGTTGATACAAAAAAAAAAAAAAAAAAAAAAAAAAAAAACCCCGAAGGTGATCACGTGCGCGCGAACAGCTGATGGTGACGTTGGCGACCAACATGGCGGATTGGAACCGAGGTAGTTTGTTTTTCGACATGTATTCATCTTTACATATTTAACCGTTGTTAACATAAATAACTTGTTTTATTCCTTAATGGGGAAATTATCTGCTAACATTTTCCTTTAATCCCTCCTGTACTGTGTGCGGGATTGTATGCGCGGTTTAAGCCTTAATTTTATGAAGCTAAACACTTCCCAAGTTTCTGTCCAGCAGCACTAGATGTAGGTCGATGGCTGCTTTCACAGAATATCTCTATCTCACACGAAATAAGAAAATACTGTCGGCAGATGTTGAACTAAACCAAGATTTCGCTTTTTGTCCAAGCGTTTAGTTCGCTCTTTAAAAAAAAAGGTTTAAATTTGCATAGGGAACTGTTAGGATAATTATCATTGATGATGTGTGACTTTATTAGACCTTAATATTAGCTGCCTGTTGCGGGTCAGAACTGATGTTTTCCCCAATAATTTATTGAATTAAGACAGTTTCTCTATCCGAGTATTCAGTTATAATCTTCATTCTGTCAGGGGTGGAGCTAGATGGGGGGCCAGGGGTGGCCATGGCCACCCTTACCCACTCATTGGCCACCCTACCATTTATTTACATCTAATACAGATGGTGGCAGCAGTAAAACTCTGGAGTGGAATATTCAATTAATTGACATTTTTTTGTGGTTAATTATACACATCAATTACTAACATCAAAGATGATAAGTACATAATTATTAGATTAGATTTTGTGTTATATGGGGTAAGGAGAAAATGATGTGTCTCTGCAAGTCATCTAGGAGTCTTCATTGAAATCATAGATAAATAACAATTTTAATAAAAACTTATCAAATAATACATTTATTAAGATATTAGTGCTTTTAAATATCAATTTTATGCAGAATGTTTATTGACACAAATAGGTAAGTAATGACAATGGAAAAAATTTACGCCCCAGAACTCAAAACTGAAAGAATTTATCCACTATACCTTTTATCTAGAAATTACAGATTTTTAAATATATGTGTCTATTAGTTAGCAAAGGATGTAGGAAAGTATAATTTGTCTTTTTTTTTTTTTAGAAAATATGGATGTTTTGCTCAATAATTTTCCTATTGGATCAGTATAGATTGACCCTAAGGTTCTGGTGCCAATCCACTTTCGGCCACCCCTCAGTGTACATTGGTTACTGCCTGGCCACCCTTATAACGATGTTCTGACTACGCCTCTGCATTCTGTATGTGGCAAATATTTGGGAATGAAATGAAAGCGGTGTTCTTCAGCTAAGAATGAAGTAATATGTTGATAAGGCTGGAGCCATGGATGTTTACTCACCTGCTAACGTGTGTGATGTAATGATGTGATGATGTGGCAGATTGGAGATGTATAAAATGCCTCTTTAACCGTTAGTCGGGGCCACTTCCAAAGAAGTGAGCCAGGGGGTGAGCAGCTGCCTTCTGTACATCTAAGCAACTTCTCTGCTCTGAGTGAGATTACAATATCTATCAGAATCTGTTGTCATGTCTCCTTGTTATTTAATACATATAATGTATGAAGTGTTATTTAAAGAGTTTGTCCTGAGTGACAAAGCTTTAACATAACTATTGAACAGATACTCTAATTAATGATGTGTATTTAGGAGTTGTAAGAAAGTAACTTAACAGTTAAGAAATACAGCAGCTCATAGTAGGACTATGTCATCGGAAATTTTAGATTTCTATTCATTTCTTACTTCATATATTGAGTTAATCTATTTAGTCTCTGGAAAAAATGTTTTTAACTCAGTTTGTTTCACCTGCAAGGCCACAAAATGTCTGAGTGAGATGAGGGCGTGTCGACAAGATATCCTTATTCCCATCTTTTTGTTTATTTTAACGTGTTAATGTTTAACCAAAGTGTCTGTAATTTCTTTTGACTCTGCCTACTTTGAGTAAGGGAGCGACTCTGTCTAAAGACAGAACAGGGCAGACCATCATGCTGATGTGATGTGCTGAATATCTTGTTCTCAATTAACTTTGCAAAGTAAATAAAGTGCAGACTGAGTGAAATCCATCAATCTCTGTTTATTTAACTGGACCGTATAGCTGAAAACTTTTTTCACACGACAGACTTAAATGTGGTTTCTATTGCAGGTTTAAAAACAAACTTTCCACTTTAAAACAATACGACTAGTTAATCGATTTAGTTTATTTTTAGGGCTGAACAAAATAATCGTCAACTAATTTAGTAATCGTTAACTGGGTTATAGAGACTATAATATATGCCTTTAGCTGAAAGAGCAACCTACTTAGAGCAGGAAATAAAAAATAAAATAAAAAACATATTAGACATGTTTTCTTCTGTCAATATGCTCTATCCAGAACTCGTCATCTTAAATAGTTTTAGTTCCATGTTGTTTAAATTTCTAAAAAATCTTGTTTAAGGAACCTTTCCCTATCCGATTATGAATCAATTAATTGAAAAAATAGTCGACAGATTCATCGATTTGCAAAATAACCGTTAGTTGCATCCCTAGAATGAACATCTCTCTTAGCTTATTAAAGCCCAGCTCCTTTGTGTTGAAATGAATTGTTTGCTTGGCATCAGAGATTGCAGTAACTGTCTAATCAATAAGAAATTAATCCAGTAATTTGTAAAATATCACCAATCATGTATCATGTGCATCACATATGATCCTTTGTATCTGTGTGTGTTCAGGTCATGGCTCCATGGACGACATGCTGGATACTGAAAACAAGCGGTTGGCTGAAAACTTGGCCAGTAAAGTCTCCAGGTTGAAATCTGTGCGTAAGGCTCACTAAACCTCTTCTACCGCCCTGTCAGTGATTGTGCTTGGATGTCCGTCTACCTGCTGGTTGTTTAGTGATTCTGCTTCCAGTTTCCGCATCTTTGTCTAAACTTCTATCAGTGTCTCTTCTTGAAATTTAAAGCTCTCAGCCAGCTTTAATTTGACTTCATCAGCAGTTTTAACTGGTCATCATCACATTTTTTAAGAAATTACATTTTTGATAACCATCCCCAGGGAGATCCTGGTGTGGATTTGGAGCCTTGGTCCAGTGCTGGAGGAAGCAGATCAGTCAGATACATGGAAACTTACTAAATATCCAAAACAAGCACGTTTAAGCTAGCTATTGGACACTACTCAGAAATTCCGAGTTCCTTGAAATTTTTATACAAGAATCAAAATGATTCAATGTCTAACTTACAGATAAATGTTTAACAAATCTTAACAGTTTGCAGATTTTATTCTTTACTTTAGAAAGCTCCATAGAAAGGCACTCAAATAACAGTAAACAGCAAATATTTGTGGCCGATTTGGCTCTTTTTATTCGGTATTTTCATGCATTGGCTGACTCATTAATGCATTCAGTGCTTTGAGATCACGTGTAGCGCATGCATTGCTGCTCCCTCCACTTCTCATCCATGGTTAATGTTACATTTAATTGCTTAATAAATGTTTCTGTTTGGTTTAAATTGAGCCTTATCTAACATTCTTTATCTTGCGAATGAAGGAAGGAGAACCAAAATCAGCTAAGAATCATCCCACAAATCTTGGCAGCATGTATCTGGGATTGATTAGACGGATGTCAAAGTGTAACATGCATCGGTCGATCTCGAATTCTTACTTAATCTTTGTCTGACAGCTGGCTTATGACATCGACAGAGAGGCGGAGGATCAGAACGACTACTTGGACAACATGGTGAGTCATTCTTGCCTCGCTGATATTTATTTTGAATATTTTTCTCTGTAAAGTTAAGATGTTTGTCCCTTTCATATTCTTCTCCAATGCTATGCTCACACCTAAAGCAGCAAGAGCATCAAAATCGTGTCTGCTGCTTCATTTTTGATGCTTGTACAGTTTAGTTCTGACGTGCAGCTGAAGAATCTTTGCTGCTTTAGCTGCGCGGTGGGAAAGTGGATCTGATGCGTGTTGGGTGGAGCTACTCTATCCTTTCTGTGCCTGTAACAATGGCAGCTATATATGCTGTGATCAGTGGGTAAAAAGTAGTTTTAATATGTTTTTAATTGAGAAAGTCCACATTAAAACGTCATCTGTGCAGTCAGTTCATCCAGATTACGATCTTTGATTCAAATATTATTTTGCTGTCGGGGCCGCTCAGACCCCCACATACCGGCTATGCGCTGTCAGTAGGAATCCCATTCAACAGCAGCCTATAGCCCGGTCTCCTCTTCGCGGTTTTCCGCAGCGGCTGGTAGGCGGTTTTCATGTACGTAATCCAAACTCCGGGCACCAGGATAATAAAAGCGAAAATCTTTTGCTGGCAGATTTCGGCATTTTAGGTTAATTTAGGCGTCAATAAACTGTTTCAGAGGAGTGATCATAGTGATCTGTATCATCAGCGATGTGTCTCTCTCCCCACCAGCTCCTAGATCAGCTTCTCTGATTGGTTGATGCGGTGCGTCGAGCAGCAAAAGTTAAAATTTCCAACTCCAGCAGCAGCTGGGTTTGCAGTGTGTCATATGCCCAAACGCTCATGACGCACTGCACCTGCTGCTCAAAACACACTGCGGGACCTTTTGCTGCGCCTTGATGCGCGTCAACCATTAACTTTGCATGTAAACTAGCTGCTTCTGCTGCTTGCGGTCTGAACGTAGCATAAGGGTAGCACTCCTTACAAAGTGAAACATTTAGCTCTGATTAACGTTCATGCCCATCTAACGAAGTGCAGGTAGACATTTTAAGCTTTATATTGACAGAAACTGAAGTTATAATAACTTTCTACTTTCAGGACTCCAACTTCCTGAGTGCGACCGGCCTGCTAACCGGCAGCGTCAAGCGGTTTTCCACAATGGTCCGATCCGGCAAAGACAACAGACGCCTCCTCTGCTATGTGTCCGGGGGGCTAGTCCTGGCCTTTTTTCTTCTTTACTACTTGATTTCCAGGATCCATAGCTGATTTCAGGACAGCATCATCAACCAGGGAGCCACTCTGATGCCGAACTTAATCTGAAAAATCTTAGCTAGGATGGAGTTATCTCTAAGGCTATCTGCTAAGATAATCCCTTTATAAGAAAAGAAACTGGATGTATATATGTGTATGTTTAATTGAATTGATGTACAGCGCGGGTGAAACTATAAGGGGTGTTCTTATGCAAACGTTTTTGGAGTCTATAGATGGTGAGCGGGGAGCATATCAACATAGCTATGCTACCTTTGTGCAACCCTGAGTAATCCAAAGTTCAGGAGGAAGAAAGCTTTATTCAAACACATCGAAGAGTGGACTGGGATCGACACAACCTTTAAACGTCCTTGTGATCAACTAAGAGACATTGACGCAGAACAGAGGTTTTAAATGGACTGAATTTTCACTCTGTTAAGTCATGGCAACATAACGGCTATGAGAACCAGGTAGGCCAATAATTGTGGTTACAGCTGAGCGGCAAAGCCTAATGATCAGAATTTCTCCCAAATACGATTTAATAACAGAACAAGGGTTGATTTTGGCTTTATATTGCTGAGTAATTGAAGGAATGTCTCATTTTGAGCTTAAAAACTTTAGTCCTGTTCCATTTAGTCCTGTCCAACATTTAGATTCAAACAAAAACACCTGTTGCCAACTGATTGAATTTCTTTTTTTTACTACTTTGGTCTTAAAAACTAAGATCTGATCCAATTGACTTTAAACTTAGTGTTATATTTATAGCTCTGTATCCATCCAGTTAATGCTAATTTGCTCTCCTGCAGTCTATGAATATTCAGGAGAGCCAGAATTGTGCATTTAAGAACCACTAACAATAAAGTCCCGCATTTAATGTTCGCTGATAGTATTGAAAGAATTTCTATCAAACATTGAATGAGGGAAATATTATTCAATGTTTGCTAAAAATTCTGTCATTACTTTCAGCAAATGTATCTTTGCTCATGAGATTCTAACTAGTACCCTTTTAATGTTTAGGTTGTTTAGCTGTTTATTATTTTAGGAAAAAATGAAGAAATCTGACCAAAATATACAGATAGTTTGATTTATAATCATGTTTTCAGTAAATTCCAATGCAACTTTTTTTTTTTTTTTTTGCTTGTCCTACCTAAACGCTGGTGTTAAAAACCCAAGGGAGAAAACTAGTTGAGATTTATTAAGTTTACTTACTGTTTATATTGGATTATTTAGATTTTGACCAGGAAATGTTTAATATTTTCTGCTGGGTTATTTGTACATAGTGCTAAAGCATTTTGTATAATAATAAATCTTGTTGGTGGTGTGACAGAATTGATCTCTTGACAAGGTAGAAAATTAAACGGCTCCACTGCTGCTACAAGCCCCTCCTAGTTCATTAAACAGATTTGAAAGAAGACTTTATTTTAGGCTTTTATTTATCTGAAACGATTAATCAGAATAATCGATTATTGAAATAATCATCAACTAATTTGGTAATCGGATAATCATTTATTGGAGTAGAGACTCTCAAAAATGCCTTAAGCTGACAGAGCAACCCACTTAGAGCAGCAATTATATCAACAAAAAAAAGTAAATATTTTGCATTAAAAAAAAAAAAAAAAACATTTCCATCAGTCAATATGCTCTATCCAAAACTCCTCAATTGAAAGGTTTTAGTTTCACTTGGTTTAATTACGTAAAAAGTCTTCTTAAAGGAACCTTTTGCTGTCCAATTATGAATTGATTAATAAAAAAAAATTAATTTACAGATTAATTTGCAAAATAATTGTCAGTTGCAGACCTACTTTATTTTATTTGTTTTAATGAGTTATGTGTGTGTTAATGTTTCTGTGTAAAACAGTTGTTAGACTGCAGGTTTTACAGTGAATTTTAGATAGAAGGTCTGTTTCCCACTGAGATAAAGAAATTAGTTGCCTTTTATTCAAAGAAATGGGCTAAAATGAAAGTACATTTTCAGCTCTTTCTTCAATAAGATTCAACCAATGAAAAACCTCTTTACTGAATCTGGTATAAGAAAATTGTTTGGTTTTGTTCATTTTGATAAATTCGTTTTTCCTAAGGATCAGATATTTAACAATGATTGTAAAGAAAATCAAGGAATTTGACTTTGATGTTACAGCGCACATAGAAACTGTATGTTTTCAGTTTTCTGATAAGGATAAATTAAGTTTTTTTATTTTTTCATACCTTTGTCCTTGATAAGCAAACATATTGTTCATCACTAACCAGCAATATGAGGAAAAAGCTGAATAGCCACATCAAAGTTAAAAATAGATGATAGAAATGAAAGGATTGCGCTGAATTCTAATCTGATCAATATTTATTCTCTAAAAATGTAAAAACAAGGTTGATTTATGAAAATGGTTAGAAAGAGTTTGGGGAATTATTCCAAAATTAGCTTGATTTATTTTCATTTCCATAATGTAAATATATAATATTATTGTAATAACTAAATAGTATATGCGTATGCATTATTTGTCATGTCTTAATATGCAATATGTTTGGTATTAAACGGTAAAACGAATAAAATCGAACTATAATTTTGGTTTAAAAAACATTTTAGTGTAGCTCTTTGGTCTTTGTGATTTAAACCTATAAGATCTTATAATTTTATGAGGTAAATACAGGTGCTGGTCATAAAATTAGAATATCATGAAAAAGTAGATTGATTTCAGTAATTCCATTTAAAAAGTGAAACTTGTATATTATATTCATACATTACATACAAACTCATATATTTCAGATGTTTATTTGGTTTAATTTTGATGATTACAAATGACAACAAATGAAAATCTCAAATTCATCATATCAGAAAATTAGAATATTGTGAAAAGGTTCAAAATTGATGGCCCCTGGTGCCACACTCTAATCAGCTAATTAACTCAAACCACCTGCAAAAGCCTTTAAATGGTCTTTCAGTCTAGTTCTATAGGCTACACAATCATGGGGAAGACTGCTGACTTGACAGTTGTCCAAAAGACGACCATCGACACCTTGCACAAGGAGGGCAAGACACAAAAGGTCATCGCTAAAGAGGCTGGCTGTTCACAGAGCTCAGTGTCCAAGCACATTAATAGAGAGGCGAAGGGAAGGAAAAGATGTGGTCGAAAAAAGTGTACAAGCAAGAGAGATAACCGCACCCTGGAGAGGATTGTGAAACAAAACCCATTCAAAAATGTGGGGGAGATTCACAAAGAGTGGACTGCAGCTGGAGTGAGTGCTTCAAGAACCACCACACACAGACGTATGAAAGACATGGGTTTCTGCTGTCGCATTCCTTGTGTCAAGCCACTCTTGAACCACAGACAGCGTCAGAAGCGTCTTGCCTGGGCTAAAGAGAAACAGGACTGGACTGCTGGTGAGTGGTCCAAAGTCATGTTCTCTGATGAAAGTAAAATTTGCATTTCCTTTGGAAATCAAGGTCCCAGAGTCTGGAGGAAAAGAAGAGAGGCACTTCATCCACGTTGCTTGAAGTCCAGTGTAAAGTTTCCACAGTCAGTGATGGTTTGGGGTGCCATGTCATCTGCTGGTGTTGGTCCATTGTGTTTTCTGAGGTCCAGGGTCAACGCAGCCACATACCAGGAAGTTTTAGAGCACTTCATGCTTCCTGCAGCTGACCAACTTTTTGGAGATGCAGATTTCATTTTCCAACAGGACTTGGCACCTGCACACAGTGCCAAAGCTACCAGTACCTGGTTGAAGGACCATGGTATCCCTGTTCTTAATTGGCCAGCAAACTCTCCTGACCTTAACCCCATATAAAATCTATGGGGTATTGTGAAGAAGAAGATGCAATACACCAGACCCAACAATTCAGAAGAGCTAAAAGCCACTATTAGAGCAACCTGGGCTATCATAACACCTGAGCAGTGCCACAGACTGATCGACTCCATGCCACGCCGCATTGCTGCAGTAATACAGGCCAAAGGAGGCCCAACTAAATACTGAGTGCTGTACATGCTCATACTTTTCATGTTCATACTTTTCAGTTGGCCAACATTTCTATAAATCCTTTGTTTTTATTGGTCTTCAGTAATATTCTAATTTTCTGATATGATGAATTTGAGATTTTCATTTGTTGTCATTTGTAATCATCAAAATTAAACAAAATAAACATCTGAAATATATGAGTTTGTATGTAATGTATGAATATAATATACAAGTTTCACTTTTTAAATGGAATTACTGAAATCAATCTACTTTTTCATGATATTCTAATTTTATGACCAGCACCTGTATATTTTAAAAATCACCATTAATGCGCTCTGTCAGAGCTGAAAGAGGAAACACAGAAAAACCCCCATTATCATTGGCCAGTTTGCCATCGCGTCGACTCGAATTCCGTCGGCGTTTTCCGGTTTATCGCTTGCAGTAGATTTCAAATAAAAATAAATTACAGTTCCCTTAAATTTATCCGGATACGCTTGCCTTTACTTGCATACTCCACGAAATGTGTCTATTTTTTTTTTTTTTTTTGTTAGCGAAAGGCTGGTCGGCTCCGTCACCTGTGCGTCACTTAATGCGGCTCTCCGGGAACCTTGAATGTGCTTCTTGGTTCCGCAGCTGCTCGGCCCTATTCGGTTCTTGTCGTTTAGCGAAAGAATGGACGAGGCAGCCTCGGCCACGAAGGCACTCGGGCTGGATGAACCGCCCATCGGCGGGTCGCCGGTGGAGGGAGTGGGCTCGGATACGGAATCGGAGGCCGAAGCCGCTCCGATGTCTGTTATAGCGGAACCGCCAAACATCGACATGAGAGCCGAGCCGAACCCGGACGAGGCCGAGGCGGCTTTCGCAGGTAGGCAGCAGCAGCTCAAGGCATGGGCGTAGGTTTGCATAGGGACCATAGGGACATGTCCCTACCAAAATTTTGAACCGACATAATTGTCCCTACCAATCATTTTATGTGAGCAACATGTTTATAATTTACAGCAGTAGTTGTTGTTGCAGCAGTGGCTTCTTTTCCTCTCGCAGCTCCTCTGCCTGCTCTCTCCTGTCCCTTTCATGAAGCAGCGCATGGAACTGTGCTGCGCATGTTTAACTCAACTCTCATTGGTTGTTCTGCCTTAAGTTCCGCCTTCTCTCTCTCTGATTGGCTGTTTACTAGTCCGCGTGTGCTTGGAGCACAACATTGAAAATTTATTCACACTAGAATGCAGCGGTTACAACAATTAATATTAGGCTACAAAACTAGTCCCAATAAAAAAAAAATGAATATCATGTACACTAAAAAACAAAAACCTTTTTTTTTCTTTTATAAAACGAAATTTTCTGAGTCAGCCAGGAGTTCTGAAGACTGCTGGAAAAATGGGCAAATAAAGGCTGTAAGCCATCAACATTTCTGATTCTTAGCCACAGCCAACTAAAAAAGAAAATGTGAGGGTTTCCTTTTTACTGAAATTTAGTTGATATTACTATTTTTATTTTTACAATTTTGCTTCATTACCAGTAAAGAGCGAGTATCCTTCTATCAAATGTGTTGTGGAGTGGGAGCTGAGAGATAAAGACAACAAAGACCTGTTCTGCATCCGATTCCCAGTTCAGATTGTGAGCTAAACCACCATAACAGAAGAACCTCAGATGAACTGCTTTTAAGAAGGGATTCAGCTTTGAGTAAAAAAAAAATAAAAATCTAATATCCCTGGTTCTTGAGACTTTTATCTAAGTGGGTTGCTCTGTGGGGAAAGGCACATTTTACATTTATATTACTGTATGTTTTAAAGTCTCTATACTCCAGTTAATGATGAATCACTATAAATTAGTTGACGATTATTGAAATAATAAATTAATATGATTCATTTTTTTCAGCCCCAGATGAAATACATGAAATTGGCTACACAGAGTAACTACAGCCCAGATGTTCAACTTTTATAGTGAAGTTAATATTTTAATGAATGTATTATTTTGCTTGATACAGAGAGAGAATAGTAGGTACAAATATTAGAGTGGGGTTTAACTCTGCACAATTCTATATCTTCAAAAGAAAATACTGTATTTACCTTCTCTCGCAGTCGTTCAAATGAAACCGTTTTCAAAGTGGAAAACAGTCCTAATTCCACATTCATCAGAGCCGGTGATACTTCAAACATTGATAAACAGCATCTAATGAGTGTAGAGCTTATAACATTTTTATTAATGGAGCAAAATGTTGCTTTTCTCTTTTAACAATGAATTCCTCTTATCAGTACGGATGCTCACATCGAGCATAAAAAAGGGCATGCATATTGCATAGCACCAATGACACCAGACCAATAGTGTCCCTACCAAAGTTCAAATCAAACCTACGCCCTTGGCTCAAGGCTATGGCTATTCAGGACAGTTAGAAGCCCGATGTAGCATTATTTATTTTATGTCTCACATAAAAACACACAGAGCAAAATGCTGCATTTTAAAACAA